ATTTGCTTCTATATAAACCATCTGAATTTTCTATATAAGTGATTGAGATTTGAGAGTAAGGGCATTAGTATAGTAGTAAGAACATCAAAGAGGGAAAAACATGTTTCTTAAATTTTGGGTTTTGTTTTTGCTGGTCATTTTGTTCATACATGGCGATGGGACTTTAGCCTCAGACCCTGACCCAATTCAGGATTTCTGTATTCCAAATCCCAAATTTGGTGCAATAAAAACTGCTCATCTCACCATTCTCCCATGCAAAAACTCCTCAGAAGCAACCACAGATGATTTTGTGTTCTCGGGCTTAAAAGGCACTGGAAACTTCACTGATACAGGCCTTGCAACCATTCCAGTCAATCCAGCAATCTTTCCAGGGATTAACACACTAGGCATGTCACTTGTACGTGCTGACCTGAAAGTTGGTGGGATAAATCCACCTCATTTTCACCCTAGAGCAACTGAGATTGCGTATGTGGTGCAAGGAAATGTTTATGCAGGCTTTGTTGATTCAAACAATCGCGTTTTCTCCAAGGTGATTGAGCAAGGAGAAGTGATGGTGTTTCCAAAGGGTCTGGTGCACTTTCAGATGAATGTTGGTAAAAAGCCTGCTACAATATTTGCAAGTCTTAATAGCCAAAATCCAGGACTCCAAAAGATTCCATCTGCTGTTTTTGGATCTGGTATCGATGAGAAGCTGTTAGAAAAGGCCTTTGGCCTGAGTCATAAGCAGATTGGGACTATGAGGAGAAGATTTGATCCCAAACAGTGAGCTAAATTCATGATTGAAAAAGATTTATTGTAATAGAAAATATGAAGAGTAAGTAACATGGCTTTGCTGTAGTATAATGAAGATGAAAGATTATGTTGTCTATCTGTTTATTTTATAAATTCTGTTCGTCTATACTGGTATTGTTTTGGAGCTGCAACTAGTTTCTCCTCTCCTCACTTGTTTCACCTGAAGTTCATTTCATTTAGTTCTCTGTCGTATGAAATTTAAACTTGATTCATGCTCTTTAGAATCATAAACAGGAAACTATATACAGTAATTTCGAGAGCCAGAATCACAAAGGAAACCATGCTTCTAGTTTCCCCATCAGTTTTTCCCTTGACCAAACAGTGCCTTAACCTGTTGATATCCACTGACCTGTTAAAACCTTGATTCTATAAGATTAGAAGTCACAGTCAAATGTAGTAAATCACTAACATTCCTCTATGTATATTGGTAAAAAAAAAAAGATCAGTTTCCTCGAAGAATAACAAAATAGTATGAATCTCTATGCTTTATTCTAAAATGTGGGGGATAAGAGAATGTGATGGTATCATTGCAATGGCGACAAAATGCAGCAAAGTGTGCTGAGATGCCATCATTGTTGCAGAGGACTATTCAGCTGTAGTTGCAAAAGAAAAACTTTAGAAAAAATAAACAACTAGCCGAATGCTATTGAATCATAGTTACTTCACAATTAATACAACAAGGAATGATAACGGATCGTGTCGAGGTGAGCTTTTGCTTCTCTCAAACCTAACTCGATCAAAAGAAGTTTTATTTTTTTTATATTCGAACCCAACCTGACTCAATATTATATAAATTATATCTGATCTAATTCGATTCAAAATTAATAAAATATTATTTTTTAAATATAAAAATAAATATATAATTATATATATAATTAATTAATTATTAATAATTTTTATATAATATCGGATCGAATCGGGTTGGGTTTGCTTAAAACTCGAATCCGACTTGATTTAATCCTGATTTTCTTAACATTATCCGATTTGACTCTAAAACTTGATTTAAAAAAAAAAACGATCTTATGAGATCAAATTAGGTCGGATCGACGGGTTAAGCTGCCTATCCTAAATACAACAACCTATAAAGAGCAAAACAACCAACTTCATTCTCCAATACTAGTAAATATTTCAGTTTTTGGGGAATCAACTCCAAAATTATTGATCCCGGTAATATTGAATGACATTATCCTACACATTGGTGTTGAGTTTTAATACAGCACTTATGTATTATATTAAATTTGCCAAACGTTAATTTAGCTTTTCTTTAAAGCATTTTTAGAGCAACTCTATGGTAACAGATCTCATAAAAGGTACAGCTAGGCCAAACAGACAAGCTGTCCAGATAAATCATATGAAGATGGAAAGAAATTAACCCAGTCAACGTAAACCTTACATGCTTGTACCATATGCATGATGAATCTAGCCTTACTAACATCGCTATCCTACACATATGTTCTGATAATTGATCATTTCTATCATCCATATTCATAATTGATCATTTCTATCAATTTTTTTTTTTTTTTACTTTATTATCTTTCCTTTTGTGAAAAACTAGTTCTATTTTGATTCTGTATAAACTATCCTTTCTTTACATCCACAGATAGTATTGGCAAAGCATGTAATGCTATGATAATATTTGAGATCAACCAGCCAAAATTGAAAATTGTTTGACAAACGCAAATGTATAATGTATTAACAAGTTATAAATGTTTTTTTTTTTTTGGCCAATAAGTTACAAATGTATTAGTGAGTACAAAAGTGCTACTAGATTGTTTAAAATTTCAAGAATTGGAAACATTGTCAGGACAAGGATATTTTAGAAACTGCAGTACCTCAATCCCACCCTCCTTTTTTTCTGTCTCTTAAAACTGAATGAATACAACCTTTGCGTTTCAGACATAAAATTGTACCTTCAACCCTGACAAGGTTGCAGACATCAATTTTGGTAATAACTTATAGTGGAGGGTAATGGGATAAGGGACAAAACCTATAAATGCAGCTAGTTCTCTCCAACCAAAAGTGTCTTTACGATATTATCCGACATCCCACCAGCAAGTCGAAACCTATGTCCATCATGGTTTCATGGTAGTGAATCCATGGGAGTTGTTGGGCAATGTAGCGTTGCAATGTAACAGGCACCAGCACATCCTCATCTCCATGCCACAGGTGCACAGAGCCCTCATTATTCGGAAATGGGTTGTCCAGACCCTTGAGAGAGAATTCCCATGTTCCCAATCCAATTATCAGGTCACGATGCATGGACTCATATTCGCCTTGCTGTCTTACTAATGCCTGAGGAGAGAACAGACAAGATTATGATGGCAGCAATAGCAAAGAATAACGTTCAAAAACCAATTATAAAAATTCTAAGAGTGTGAAAAACAAGAAAAAGAAAGAATCAATTGATAGTTATTAGTGCAGCGAATCAACTTGTTATAGACATAGATCAACCGAACAGATGCACAAAGAGAAATTGAATTTTCACCATCTGCATTATTGCAAGCCACTACAACCGCCAGAGAATGCCACTTCAAAGAACCACCATTAACCGACCACAACCACATAATTTTTTAAGAATTCCTGAAGAATTTTTCAAATAAAGTTTTTTTATTCATTATTATTTTTATTTGATGATTGAAAAGAATTATACAATTTTACTAATTTTAAACTAAACTACAAAATAAGAATAGATCAGAAATTATACCTTCAAATAAGGTTTTTTTTTTTTTTTTTAAATTTAAACATAGCTTTGGGTCTTTGGGCTTCAGAAAATTAATGGACCAAAATGTAAAATTAGTGTGGGCCAAGTGCACTTTGCAATTCATGTCAGAAAAAAATATTAAAATTACATCGTTACCCTTTGAGCTAGGGGGCCAGGGCTTGAGTCATTTTCCTGCCACTAATAGCCCGATTCTAAGGTGAAGCCCAACAGATAAAGACAGACAACAGAACATGAAACAATTCAAAAAGTTCAGTAGTGATTTTGGGGTAGGAAACAACGTGCATGCTAAAAGAAATTAAAAAGGAGAGGAGGCACAATTTAAGACAAACATATAAGCCAACTCTATAACATTTGATTTACCTTAATTTTTATTTTACCATTGATTAATCTATTTTTTTGAGTTGCTAAATAAGTATATACGTCAACATTTTGTATATAAGAAGAAAGAAGCATGTACATTTAATGTTGACAATTACAAAAAAATTATATATATGTTTGTATGTATATACATTTAATTATGATCATCAAGATTAGACAATTCATGAATTTTTTTCTTTGATATATTTTTCTTTCTTGTTGGTTTAACTTGAATACCTAAATAATTAATTTCCTATATGAAAAAAACAAACTATATATCCCAGTGTAGAACTACTGGCAAACAAAAGAAATTACTCCCACTAAAAATAGTAGTAAAAAAGAAAAAAAAAACATGAACAAGGATACAAAAATGGGATATATAAATAAATATATATATATATATATATCCCGAGTTTGCAATAAAGTCAGAAACATTTTATTTTACAGAAGTGTGACAGCTATTTATATAGAAAACGATTTAACTAGTTTGATGTGATGCCAAGGGCAGCATTTGAAGCACTTTTTCCTACTGGTAATCATTTATAAGCCTTTTTTTTTTTTTTTACTTTTATTTCTAATTTTTTAACTACAATTTGTCGAAGTCTGAAAAACATGAATTATATGATCATCTTTATTCTTTCGGGAGGATTCACCTAGGTTATCATAGCCATGGAGAAGCTTTAGAGTTTAATCTGCATTTTTACCATCTTCTTGTTCCTTAATATGGTGAACAAAATCCCCTTTTTTTCTTGAACCAAAATATTAATCCTATGAAACGAAAACATCCATGAGTTGAAATAAGAGAAAAAAAACAGTTTACCGAGGGCGATTTGTGTCACGATAACACCAATGATTCTTCTGTTGGTAAAGTACTCTACCCAAGCAGGCATCACAAATTACACTGACAAAAACAGGTGAATAATTCACAAGTTGTAGATTTAGACATTCAGTTTATGTACCAAAAACTTATCAGTTTCAACACTTCTTAGTTAAATAAAAGACATCAAACCATGGCAGAGTTTCAAAGGAGGATCTCTGCAGCCAGTTATTTAGATCCGTACTGCTACAAGCCTGTATTCTTAGACTAAAAAAAAAAAAAAAAGGAGAAACTACCACACGTTTTCTTTTTTTTTTTTCAATTGAAATGGAACTTGTTTTTGTTGAGTTTTGACTTGTACAGGTTCATTAGCGCCTTCTTGCAGCTGTTTCTCTTTGAGCATTGAAATAAACAGCAGCAACAGGGAGGTCAAGATCGTTCTCAGCAGCAAAATTTCGGGTGCTGAAGTTATCCCTTGAAGAAGGTGACGTTATTATCTGTCTACGTTTCTGCTTGAAAAGAACAAACACAAATCTGTGGATCCCTATATTTGGCCTTGGGATTTCATAGCTCACCACCTCCCTTCCTGTTTAATCCAAAACCCCATAAACCAGAAAGAGAAGAGGGGAAAAAAAATAAGGAAGAGAAGATCAGTACTTTTTATCTTTCTTAACTTGTCCAAGATAGTTCTTAATTACACGGAGAAACATACCAAATGTCGCATCTGTTGTGCCTGGGATGTCCGTCACTATCCTGTAAAGTGGTCAGATCAATGAAACTGTCCGCTATTTTTTTAGCTTTTCCAATTGGTAAGATCTCTCTTATTAATGCATGCAGATCACTTGATTCTTACAGAGTTGAACTTATTAACTTTCATTTGACTAAACTCGAAGAAATTACTACTGATTATAATAAAGACATGACATGACCATAAGTTTATGGTTGTTATTACCTTAATTATTAATCGATCAAAGCTTTGCTTTTCAACATTAGATTAGGTCCAGGATTAATATTGAAGCTATGGTGGTGTTGGAAAGTGGAAACAATGGATTTAGAGCCACTTTGGTAACCCTCTCCTAGCTCTAATCAAGGTACATATCTCAAAAGTTAACTTTTTTATGGGCATATGGAGTGGACTGATCAATTCTACTATATATAATTAATGAAGCAATTGCTTGTTAAATAGACAATTAAGGAAAAAGTTTGGTTTGATTGAATGAAGGGAGATCTATCAACCCTAGAACATATATAGGGTTTTGACAAGTTCTACTGTTTTAGTAAATTATTAAGGGCTGTAGGGGTGTACCAGTGAAGGTGCTCCCTCAAATAAGGATCACTGGGTCCAGGGGCATCTGGGTCCGTCATGACCTGCAATAAAATAGAAACCAGCTCAACAAGATATCAATTTCAACAGTAGACCAAGGTGAAACTTGGGAAAAGATAGAAAGAGATGAAGACGGTAATTTACCAGAGTGAAGAAAGTTCTCATGTCACCTCCTTGTATCTCTACCCTAGGTTTGGTGGCAACAGTTGAAGGATAGAACTCATGTCCATTGAAGACTTGCTTGTTGTTGAAAGTGACTGACATTTTAATACTTGGAATGAAAGAATCCAGAACTTCTCCTATGACTCTCCCAACAATGAGAGCTTCTGCCGGTCTTGACATTGTTCCAGCTGTTTCAGAGTCCGAGGACTAAAACAAAGAGAGAAAAGATCAACTGATCGAGGGATTATATATGCATATAAGACAACTCGATCGGAGCTTCTTATTGGAGGATATGTGTGTGAGCAGAAGCTCCTTTTATAGTGTACGAAACTCCTCTGAAAGAGCACTGTAAGTTCTCTAGATCTAGCTATAGGCTTTAGAGACGAAGAGTATAGAGTTTACAATTATATGGGAAAAATAAAAGAAGAAATGAGTGACAAATGAATTATAGACAGCTTAGTGCGCTGTGCTTTTCTATTAAATCATAGTTACATGCTTATTTCTCAGTTGGGGGACCCTGGAATTGGTTCTTGATTGGCTGGTTTCTATGCTAATTGACATTTCATTCAAGAGAAGAGATGTTTTTTTCAGTAGTAAGGCCAGAAATGAATTATAAACAACCATGGAAAGTGGGTCCTTACTATGCAAGCTGTCATCTCGCTTTCCTTTAAAACATAAAGTACGACTCTGCAAAATATTTGGAAGTTCTGTGCCTGTATATTAACAAGAGCCTGATGATGGAAACTCAGCTTTTTCATTTAAGGCAAATGAAAAGATCCTAAATAATTGTTAAATGCTTTTGATTTCACAGAATCTTCCCAATATTACAGATGCACATTTTAGAACAACTTTTTAACATTTTCAGAGAGATTCTTTGGGAAGAGAAGCATAAAGGAACTCCACCCACATACTAATGACCAGGCAGGCAGCATGAGCCAATGAGTGGTAGTGCACCGAGGTCATTTCAAAGTTATAAAGAAATTCACAGAAGTTCCAAGTTGGCCAGGTGAAAAAGATGGTGGATTTTCCATAACTAGAAAGCCAAAAACATGGTCATACGCCATGTTTCGTCTTTTTGTTTAAAATTCAAATATTTAATTTTGATAATTTTTAAAACAATTTTAGTAATTTATAGTATAATTTTGGTAACTAATTTTAGTTAGCTTAGATGCAATTTTAATAATTTTTAATGTAATTTTGATATAAGTTGGTAACTTATGATATGGTTTTAAAAATCTTTGATAATCTTCATAACTTTAGATATCATTTTAATAACATATGATATAATTTTGGCATCATTTAATATAATTTTTATTTCCATAACCTTTGATATAATTTTGTAACTTTAGATACAATTTTGATAACCTTTAATACAATTTTGGTCACATTTGATAAAATTTTGATAATCTTTGATATAATTTTGATAACTCTTTGTATAATTTAATAACTTTTGATATAATTTTAATAACTCTTAATACAATTTTAATAATATTTTATATAATTTTGATAATGTTTGATAATTTTTTATTTGATAACTTTTAATACTATAATGGCAACTTATAACATAATTTTGATAATTATTTATATAATTTTAGTAACATATTGCGAAAATTAATTGCTCCTTGAAGTAAAGCCCCATTCAATGATGATAGTCAGTGAAATGCCAATGCCGTTTAGGCCCCAATCGAAGGGTTCAACGACGGGAGAATGAATCTAATAAGTCCCAAAACCTACAAGTACTTAGCAGACATTAATAACATAATATCGTGTATTTAAAAATAACTCATCAGCTTCTATCGACACCTACTTTGCATTTGCATAAACGAATCCCATTGGCTGTACTCAACCAGCCAGCAGCATGCAAATGCATGTACCAGGAAGAGGTGCGTTTGGCTAGATATCAATCACACAAGATAGAAAAAGAGAGAAGAGTGTTCTTTTTTTTTTTTTTTTGCTTTTCTTTTTCTGTTCTTTCATTGTTTGTCGTTGTACAACGTAAACTGTACTGATTGATGCTTTCTTCTCCACTAAATTTGCAGTTGTTACTGTAAGTCTCTAGGTGTAAGGATACTGCAGTCTAATTGTTGGTTAAGCAAATTGAATCATTGATGACCACTCCTATTTCTCCTCCTTCTGATTTCCTTCTTTTTTCTTATATTTTAAAAAATTCAATCAATTAATTTTGGATTGCCAATGAGGTGAATGATGAATCTTCTTTGTTTGGACAAGAGCCTCATGGCTGAATCTGGAAATCGTAAACACTAAACAGTGCTAGGCAGTAGTCACAGCCCGACATAGCCCAAATGTTATCGAGAAGGTCTGACCAATTTGGGAACAAAATGGCACTTGGCGAAGGTCAAGCTCAATGGAACTTTGAAACAATCACAAAACACAAACATCACCTCACCAGGGAAACAAAAGGGAAAATGCTTCCCAGTAATGGGGTAGAGGGATACTGTTAACTGCTTCGAGATTGACCTCCAAGAGCTCTTCTTCTTCTTCTTCTTCTTCTTCTTCTTCTTTCTTCCATCTCTGTTAGACTCAGGGTGTGGTTGCTGCTTCCTCTATATCCATGTTATGAAATTTCTGCTTTGATAGCAGAAGCCATTGCTTTTGTCACGTGCCGGGAGCTGTGCACGGACCGTGACACTTTCAGGTTGTTTTGTGGTACGTTTTTACGAGTGTTTGAATAAATATGTGGTGGTTTTTGTGTCGTGGAGCGGAAAGAAAGATAGTAAGTAGAAGGCTCTGCAACAAATTAACAAAATTTTGGTCAAAAAGCAACCAACTCACACCAATCAAAATCAATTCGGATTTGTAGGTTGCTTTTCAAATGCCATGATCATACGTATTCAACCCTCCTTTTAACAGATCCAAATACAATCTTAACGTATTCATCATATAACTAAGCCACTTGCCTGATGATTCTATTATTAAAATCCAGATGAACTGAAAAAAATCTCAATAATCAGCAGTTATAGCAAAAGGGGGAAAAAAAAAGCCGCCAGTTAGCATATAAAATTTGTGGAAAGTTCAAGTCAACACCAACCATTTAAGGTATTTTTGTAGATGCAAAAGTAATAATAAAAATTTAAAAAAAAACTTTTTTGTATTTTTTACAGATGATTCAAATTCCAACCTCTCTCTCGCTCTCGGACAGTGAAAAAACAAAGAGAATTTTGTCCCCATTGATAGGATAGGTATTCCTACGCTGAAACAGAATGGTGGAATTTGAAAGTTCGGAAAAGTCAAATCGTATGATCTCATCATCGTATCCCAAACTAATAGATGATAGGTAACAAAAAAGTACATTAGACATTAGTTACCTGAGAGTAGCCATTTCTTAAAGGAAACCACAGCTCTAAAACTACATACACATATATTAGTTAGCTTCAGAGGAAATGGTAATATTAATACTCAGTTCTAATTAAGACCAAATCCTCAACGTAAACTTTTCACTGAAGAGTCATCGAGAAGTAGACCTAGCTACCCCCACCCAAACATAAGATATTTGCACCTTTTTTTTTTTTTGAATTGAAAAAAAGAAAAAAGGAAAGAGCTATTTGGAAGCTGCATCTGAAAAGGTTTAGACTCTTAAGAGAAACATGCCTGTTTCTTGATAATAAAACACAAACCAATACCATGGCAAGATATTCAGGCAAGGCAAAGGCTTTTTCTGTAAATGATTTCAACTAATTGGAAATGGAAAGATTAAAAAGAGATTGCCATAGCTTGGCACCAAGTTAGGAGCAAGACCCAAAGGGAATGGGTCCAATTGCAAGTAAAAGGAATTGATATTTGATAGTTTCTCCATCAAAACAGATCCGACCAGGTGACACTGCAATGACCCCTAGCAGCATCTATGTCATTTGTGGACATAAAGTTTTGAAAAGGATCAAGTTTGGCACCGCATAGGTAAAAAACTACAGTGTAAAAATATCATGGACTCCGATCCAATAAAATCTTGAATTGACTAGTTGCCTCCAAAAACAAACAAGTTTTGGAGTTCAGAGGTAACACTGGAAAGTTGAATTTCTTGAAAAAAAATTATAAGAAAAAAAAAACCATCTTTTTACTATATCCATACAAATAAACTTAGCAGCTCAAAAAAAAAAAAAAAATCCATCAAAGTGGGTTGTGACTTGTTTATATATCATGATAAACTAGGTTTTTATAAACGAGGACGTCACTTACCATGACATGAACCTTTGTCTTGATCCCCATAATTGTGCTTAATGAAGTTTTGACTGACTGCTACAGACTCTAGGAACCGTTGATGCTCAAAACTGCCGAATATAAACCGAGATCACCTATCAAAAAGGGGGGAGGTGGGGGAAGGGATTTTCGTTCCGCAAGATTGAGGGAAAATTGAAATAGTAATCACATATTTACACATCTCACCTCTAGTAATACTGCAGTTAAAAAGGTAAAGTTGCAGCTTGCAGGTGTAATCCCGTTGGTGCAGAGCATATACTGAACAAGAGATGCCTATGATAGAAACCGAACAAGAGTTCTGAAGGGAACCATTAGAAGTTGTGCTATTCAGCCCAATGCCTACAATAGAAACCCGCAATCTTACATCCTCCAAAAAATAAAATAGAGCATCATCCTGTCCATCATCTTTTTTCTGATTCAAAACATTTACAGGCTTAGTTACAGCCCTTACCAAAGCTAGTCGATAATTTCACATACCCAAGATCCAAAACCTGTGAGAGTATTGTGAAAGCATCTCATGATAGAGATGAGCAAGATGTAAATTCAAGCAATAACGTACAGACTGTAGATCTCAAAGTGCACCTACATCTCCAATTCTCAAGGGCTTCAAGTTGAGCAGCCTACTAGCCTTGACACCAACCAATTAAGCTAAAACCAATAATTCAATATTCAGCCCTTTATAAAACAGAAAGTTTTACTACATGCATAGAGCACAGAGCTCTTCAAATCTCCAAGCCTCTCCAAAAGTAAACTCAACTAGCTTCTAAAACTGGAAAAAGATATAAAAAGCGTCATTCTCAAGACAACCAAGGTCGCACAGCAAAAAACAATCTTCCCTAAGGTCGAAGAAGTACGTTTTCTCCTGGCTAAATGAATACTCTGCCTGCATGAATGAATAAATAGTTTTCTTGAAGAGTATGGATAACCCTGACAGTCTGGTTGACCGGATCACCTCAAACAAGATAGTATCCAATAAAACAGAACCATAAAAGAGAGGATATCGAGAATAGGAATAGTTTGATCATGAATTAAAGGAAATATTCAGGCGAACAGATAATAATGAAGGTAAAAGCCTATTTCAATTCATGCAAATAAGTTCATATGCTTCATGTTCAGAATGAAAGAGTATACCACGTTATAATAAGCAATTATAAGCAAAAAAAAAAAAAGCGCAATTCTGTAAAGGTTTAGTTCAATTCAACATTCTAGATATCGGAATTCAAAAAGAAACCCTTTTTCTATTGATATCATCCACTGAAAACCTAACTCTCAAAAGGATAAAATAAGAAAAAAATCAGCTTCAATTAAAATATAACAAGAAGCGAAAACAAAGTGTAGATCAAGAAACAAGCGTACGCGATAAGGCCACGATGTTCTTCACCTCCATCAGCAAGCGCCACCATTAAATTGGTGCAAGCCCTAGTGGCCCACACAACAAAAACCCCCGCCATTGCGTACCTAGGGACACTGCTCCCCAGCGGAATAAAAAGCGATGCCGCTGATAAGATCACCACCGGTAACATACAATAACCAACCACGCTAGTACACGTATGCAGATCTAGGTTGCCGTTGCGCCCCGCTAACATGTTGAAAACGATGTAGAGGAAAATCGAGGAGACGACGATCCAGCCGAGGATTACGCCGAATTGGATCTTGCCAGCTAGTAGTTGGAATAAGCAGAGGGACAAGTAGAGGAAAATTGGGCCAGATAGGTCCGAGTCTTTATGGCTCATCGGGTTGACACGGAAGGGGTTGAGAATGGATCTTGTTTTGTGCCAGATTTGGTCCGGGTGGATGCCCAGTTCGTCGAGGAGGGGCTCTTCGTCTTCGAATGAGGCGGATCCGGATGCTGCTGACGTGGAGATTGTGCCGCCGAAGGATCCGGTTGATGACGCAGCGGAACCAATATCGAAGGACATGAAGGGCATGGCGGAGGAGGATGGAGGGCGTGAGGGTTGGAACGGAGCCGTTGGGACTCGGCGTTGGTTTATGTTTCCAACAGTGGGGTTGACTCCACCGCCGGAGGGAAAGACCACCGGCGGCACAGTAAATTCTTTGGTCATTTTTGTTAAAGCTACTGCGATTCTTTTGTGGGTGTTAACTATTAAGCGAGAGAGTTACCTTTTCTTATTTCCCCCGAGAATCTTGAGTTAATTCCATTTTTTGGCCTTCTTAACGGCTGATATTGGGCGGTGAATTGATTGGTATTTTTTACTATTCGTTTGAATTGAAGGGTACTTTTAAAATAACTTTAAAAAACGATAATGATCGGGATGAATTTCAATCACTTTAATTTTTTTAAATAATATATGGTGTTATAAATTTTTTTTGTCTCAGTCTCTCAGATTCATATACATATTTTATATACATTTCTAATTGAAATTTTGTTTTCACATTTTACTGCGTAAATGCTAGTATTAAGTTTTAATATTTAAAATTAAAATTTTCATAAAAAATTTTTACATGTCAGCTGTTTCTTGTTCTTTCAAAAAATTACGTGTAAATGTCCAACAATTAAACTATTTATAACAAAACCCGCTATTATGTTTAAACTTATCGATTTCCCAGCCTTTTATAGATAGTGCAATAACGAATTTCTTTCAAAAATTAAAATGGAATGGCATTGTTTTTTTTTCTTGTTCCTACTTTTTTTTCTCAGCAGCCAAACAGAGGATTCGGTGGAACCTCTCTGTATATTTTGTCACAAATCAGAACTTAAAAGCGCTTTGGCATTTTTATTATTGCATGCATCTTAAATCAATTTAACTTTGATTTTGAAACCAATGCATACAATTTGCTCATTGTAGAACTCCGCCTCTGGTCACCTTTTCTTTTTATGTATGGATCACCGTTCAGATTGTAGCTTGCTTCGCAAACAATTTGCTTCCTCGCTCAGGTAATAGGGTTTAGGGTTTCACAATGGGTTATGTAGTAAACCATTTTTCTTCTCCCGCCTAATTGTTCGATGGGCTTCAGCTTTCACAATGCACGATGAATGTGTCAGTAAATAAAAAATTCAATGTTTTTGGTTTTTACATCAGCCCATGATTTTTCTCAAAGATTGAAGTTATTATACTAGTTGACATAGTGAGAGGTCCTTTCCCAAGAGTTAGGGGAAGCAAACAGATTCAAGGACAAATGGGTCAATATTTTAGTGGATTTAGTGACTTGCCAAAGATAAAGATAAAAAAAGTTTTGGTTGTGGATCTTTGGGTTCTTGAGCACCGAGTGTCTGTCATCAGGCAATCCTGTTCTGGTCTTCTAAGGAGATTCGAGTCATCATACTTTTGTCCTCCTTTGCTTTCCAAATTCACTAGCTGAGTCATGACACGGTTCGATGGCCTCAGAGGTTGTGAAGGGCAAGAGCCAGAGGATATTTGAGTTTGATGGGACATACTTTCTTGTTAGCTGAAGCTGTTTGTTGATGGTCAAACAGCATCAGCCAATGGACTGTGTAATGTCCGTGAGTTGTTGTTCAAGCTTAATCAACCCTCATTGACTTTCTCCTTCTGAATCTTTTGTTGATGTTACCTTCGATGGATCTCCCTCCCATCACTCTCTTCCCAAACAGAATCTGAATGAAAAGCCCCCTTTCCAAACTTATGGTATTTTGTTTTGAATTTTTTATTTGAAAGAAAATCTATATCCATTGGCTTCTTTCACCTGTTTAAGCAGCTCAAAAGTCACCCATTCTTTTCCTGCTTATTCGTTTTTATACAATGCAAGTTAATTTCTTTCACAACAAGAAAACATGCAGGGTTACCTTTCTTCTTTTGGGTAATCCAAACGTCTTTAGCAGACACTTGAATGATAAGTGTGGATTAAGTCACTCTACCGTTTGAATTTTCAACCATATGCATGAAATACTAGTAAGGAAAACTCTAGTCCAAAGTATAGAGTTCAGTAACAGTTTAATGAAACCAGTGGTGTTGACAGATATTTCTAGTTTTGCCACTTTTTTATGATATGATCCTGAAACATGGAGTGAGTTTGTCCAATTCAGTAATCCGCCTAAATTAATGGAGTGATTATCCAATTTAGAGAGAGAGTAAAACTAGAACTGTGATAATATCATATTCATTTCTAGCTGATAGCCTGATACATCCTTTGTTGTTCACAAATCCATACAAAAGAAGATATGAGAAAGATGGAAATAGAAATAAGCCTAATAGAAAGAAACTAGCTTGTAATATCCTATTTAACTGAAACGAAGCTACTACTACTGTTTGGCTATGGTTTTACACGCAAAAAAAGGGCAAGGGGGAGTTTATGTGGGGTTATGGTGTCTATCCTGCTGGATCAGGGTTGGCTAGAATTGGGAGAATTTAGGTTAGAACTGGAGCTGAGGTTGAGGTCTTTTGCTGAATTTCCCTTTGAGTTGGCCTTGGAGAGTTTCTGTTTCAGCTCAGAGAGCAGGGCTTGATTCTCCTGGTTGAGAACCTGCGCTTTCTTCCTCAGCCTCTCATTCTCCTTCATTATGTAACAGTTATGCAGGTACAGATTAGAGTTCAGCCTTTCCATGACTATAACAAACCTTTCAAACTGCCTGTAATGCCCCTGAAACCAGAAAAAACCAGCAAAATGGCATCAGGATAAAAAGAGTATCTATGATAATATTCTTTATTGCTCCAGAAATCATTGCACTACACTTGGAGACAGTATTTTTATACTTTCTTTCTGTTTTTTCTGAGAAATGGTATTGTTATTTTTAAATCCATTGTTTAAAATATTATTTAGTACTATCAACTATATCACCCTTATCTTAATCTAAAAATCCAGAAAAGGAGAATAGTCCTACATTATGTGTAGGATGTCTGGGGGAGAAATAGAAGAACATTTTCAGCCTTTTAAAAAACAACTTAAACTAATGCCTATTAACATGGACTATGTCTACCTTTCTTGGTGAAAGAAAGAAACTAGAAACTGAAGAAGAGAACAAGTCGAGAGAGAGGAGAGGAGAGGTGGGGGGCCTGTCTCCTCTTTATCTTTTCAAAAAAGATCACCTTTTCAAGGAGTTTTGTTAGAGAGCTTTGGCCGAGGAAGCTAAAATCAGGTTTCTAACAACTACTAGCAGCAGCGAAAAAAGGAAAAGAAATTGAGGGACACAGTGGAAGAAAGGAGCCGTTCATATATAGAGCAAAAAAGGTGTAGGAAGAGAGACAGACCAAAAAGACAGAGGAGAAGCTTATGGTGGGGGAAGGGAACATGACTCCCGTCTGACACAACAACCATGCATGTGTAAGCATAGAAGGCAGGCGATTGGGGGCGAGGATTTAATGTCTTGGTTGTTGTACTATGATGGTTGATGAAGGTTACTCAGTGATATGACTTCTAAAATGATGTGGGCTAGGCCGTCCCAGGATAAGCAATGATGGTTTGGATTGGGTCGAACCATCATCAACGCCCCCACTCCCACACCTTTCCCTTCTGGATTCTCCTCCTCCAATTTCATCATCATCATCAATTCTCTTTCGCTTTACTTTCTATTTCAACAAATTATTTTTGACACTTCCAATTATTTCTTTCCTAATTCCACTTCTTAGTTTGGTAACTATCGGTAATAATCATTTTCAACGGTAATCTTTTATTTCATTTGTTGAAAATGACGGTCTACAAAAATTATGTCTACCTCTAGGGGCATATTTAGAATTCAAACATGATCTTCTACAATAAATTTTGACACTTTTAAATTAAAGGTTTTTTTTTTTTACCCTACTTATCATTCCAAGGTATAAAAGGAAAAGAATTTGTTGTTTCTTTATCATATTTTATGTCTTTTCCTTTGTCACCACATACTAAAAATGGGGTGTTTTGGTTTGATATACCAATGGGCTTTCAAGTGCAACCCAATGACGAAATTAGCCCTACAGCCCTACAGCTTTGCACTGTGTGTTACACCATTGATGATGTTTTGCTTTACGTTATTATAATCATAAGTCACGCATATCTTTTGGCCAATATTTGAGGTGACCTTTGAAATAACGAAGGAAACAAAGGAAAGGGTTGGGCCAGGCAGCCTCAACCCCTCATGGGTTATGAATGCCTTAAAGTGAAACGTCATGGTTGACACAGATGTTGCATAAGATGGGTCGGTCAATGGGTAAAATCGTCATTTCAATGGCCTCACCCCTCGTGGAGCTCGCTCGTTTTGAGTGTTAATTTGAGCAAAATGTAATTATAAATAAATGGCTCTGTATTCCATTGCTGGTTTAATTACATCTTTCCCTTAACGGTTGATTTCCCTTAACGTTTCAACTTTCAAGAGTAAATGGAATCTTAATTTGCGCGTAATAATAACTGATAATAATAATAATAAATAATTACTGTTTTTATGGAAAAAAATGAAATTAGATTTAGACTATTAATTGCTTTCTTATTTGAAATTATTTCTTTTCAATGGAGAGATACTCATGATATTCTCTTAATACATATATAGTCATTAAGGTTGATAATGGTTCATTTTTTTGGATAATATATGATTTATAAATTTTTAAAATTAAATTTAAATTTGAATAATTTTTTAAATCAATTTGATTCGAATTAAATTTTATTAATTCGATTTAATTTATTATTTTTGTTTTTTATATATTATTTTAATTAATTTTTTTATATATTTAAATAGATTATATATAATAATTGTTTTTATTTTATAAAAAAATTTAAAATATATATAAATTAATAAAAATATATAATTCGATTCTTTTTTTTTTATTAAAATTCGATTCGAATTTAATATATATATTTAATATCCAAATTTAATATACAACAAATTAAAAAAAAATCCATCAAATTAAACAGAATATTATCAATTTTCTTACCCCTAATAGTCAATACCATAACTAATTTAAATAACGTCGATGGCTCCTTATTATCTTTAATATACGCCTTTGTGAATTTCAAATTAACCTTTTGCCATTTAACAATCAGTTTTGTCGATGGCCAGGTAGTGGAAAAATGATAAAATTTAGTAATATAATAACAAATTATATAGAGGTATAAATCATGATAGAGGTCATGAAATTTGTTAAATTTGCAAGTTAAATCAAGAATTAATTGGAAAAAAACTAAGTAGGATGTAGATCTTTGCAAGCAGATTATCACAACAAAATCGAAGCTTTCCAATCCTAACCAAAAACCAACAATAGTTATCTTCAAACTTTGATGCTATCTATTGAATTTAGGTTTTGCTCAAACTCTATCTTCAATTACACAATTCGATAATCAAATAACAGTCACATGAATTAAAGAGAACATAACTCTTATTCTTAATATAAGATAACAAACTATTATTCTTAAATCTCAAATCGACATATTGGACAAAAATTACTCATCTGAAGCCAACGAACAATGCAATGGTCATGAAATAAATGTGAGCAAGGCATCCGTTTGGCTTCAGAACCAGTGCAGAGATTATCCAGACAAATTGTACAATTAATGGGATTTTCAACTAACACTTTCTCCAACCCTTCTATGGCGGCCTTACTCGCAGGGATCATTGTTAGATTGTCATCAGAAAATGGCAACTGAGAAACCATAACATCAATGTTTACGCACATCCTCAAAACTTTTCGGCTTTTGTAATTATCGTCGTTTGACATGCGATGGACACAGGCTGATATTTTATGTATCATGGAATCCTCCACTGGAACGTGCATGGAAACAAGCATGTCACGAATGGCAGATTGAGGATCTCTAATCATATGATCAAATTGCACTTCATGAATACTTCGTAGAGTTACACTTTCGTAACACTCGATGTAAGATTGAAGGTCTAATTCTTCGTCATCTTCCTGGTTCGAGTATGTGAAGGAAGCATGAACATCAATGGAAAAAATTCGACTCTCTAACAAATCATCTTCCATTTTTTCATCATCTACTGCCCATACATGACAATAATTATCGCTGTCGTTTGACATACTTAAAACCAAATTAAAAATCTATCAAAAAAAAAAAAAACACTGAAATCAATAGAAAATGAAGGAAAAAATAATAGGAGATGCCAAAAAAAATAAAAATTGGTATTTTTCTCACCCTGGGGGAACTCCCTTTGAAGAAAGAAGCGCAAACGTCGTTCTTATGGCAGCAAGTCGGATTCCAATAAAGGAAGATATCCTAGGTATTAAGAGAATGAAGAAACTTACCAATTGCTTCAATTTTTTAAAAAAGGAAGTTTGGAATGTACATAACGATTGGTGCCTGAGGGAACCGAGAAGGTTTAGCATTAATGGAAAGACAGATCCATATTTCAACACTAGACTGGACAGACTAGAATTAGAATTTAGACCCAATGCATATCGAACCAGCTCTTGGCCCATTCAGATTAAACGACCTTAACATTGGTGGCCTTATTCTTGCAACTCAAAGATAATGGGGACCATAAATCATGGTCCTAAAATCAATTCCTAGTTCTTAAAATACTAAATTCTTAGACCCAACTTCTCATACATTACTATTAACATTTTGTCAATGTCTGTTACCATCACATCTTTTAGGATAGAGATAAGAACTATGGATTTTGATATTTAATTTTAAATATCTTATATATCATTTTTTAAATATAATTATATGAATTAATTAAATTAAAATTAAAATTTAATGAATCATAGTTTGTCAACTTTTAATTAAGGGTGGGAAAAAATTTAAAAAATCAATTCACAAGTTTTAAATTGATTTTTTTTAATTTATTCGAATCAAATTCGAATATTAAATGTATATATTATGTTTGTATTAAATTTCAAATCAAAAAAAAAATAAAAAAAAAATTAAACATAACTTAATTATATATATTTTAGTTTTTACATATATTTTAAATTTTTATAAAATAAAATAATAATTAATATCAAATTTTGTTTAAATTTATTTAAATAATATATAAAAAATTAAAAATTATAAATTAATAAATAATCAAATTAAATTGAATAAATAAAATTCAATTCATTTTAATTCAAATCAAATTTTTATTTGATTTAAATTTAAATTAAATTTTAAAATTTTATAATATTATATAATATTTAAAAAAAATCAAATCTTATTCGAATAGATCACTATCCCCTCTACTTTTAATACAGAACATTTCAACCAAACGAAAGTTGTAGTAGTTCAATTACTCCAGAGTCCAGACAGAATAAACAGTACATCAAATATAAGGAAAAATACTTTATTGTTTCCCTGATGTGATATTTCATGGTGGAGGTTTGCGAATCCTACTTCGGACTTTCACTTTATAGGGAATCGAGATTTGGACATGGTCGGTTAAGGGTGCTAGACGAAACTCGAGCAGTGAGCACAGTGGTCATGGGACTACAACGATGATTCTGATTCATTTGTCGCCGACAAGGTTTGGCTAGAAAGTTCAACCACAACCAAATCATGTCGGTCGAATGCAGGAGACAAAGAAGGGCTGAAGGTTAAAATTATTGAACTATAAAGTGTACATGGGATATAAAAAAATGTCTTGCAATTAATTTTCCATTCCTTTTTCAAGGGAAAAATAATGCTAACTTGTCCTCGAGTGTAGGGGTGTGTTTGGTGAAATTGGTAAATGTTAAAACAACAAGTGGCTAATTTTGATGAATCGTGCAGCTTGATTGATGATGGTGTAATGCTGATTCACTAGCCAAATCTTATCTTGTTAGAGGGCGGTGGCAGTGGATGTGGGAAAAAGATATTTGGAGTTGTTGCAGCCCATGGTTTTAGAACTTAAAAAGAAAAATACGAACAAACCTGTTCCCAATCCTTATCGTTTGTACGCCCGTCTGGGTCATCTGCTCATCTCCCAACTTGCAATTTTTGACACTTCTAAGGATGAAAAGACATTTGCTAGTTGTTTTGTAGTTGAATTCTTCTTTATCATGGTCAAATAAAAAAATTAAAAGGTAATCGTACCGTACGAACGATTCTCAAATTTTGTCTAGTCACGATTTTCATATTTAATTTTAATAAAAAATAAAAATTTAATTTTTAATATTCTAATTATATATAAATAATCAATTATTTTAAATTTATCAAAATCATCAATGTTACCGTAAATTGTCACATTCAACCACAACACCAATCTTACCAAAACAAAAACCACAACATCAAAACCATAAACACGTGTACTAAAATTTTGGAAAAAATCATCATAGTCATAAGTCGTAACCTTGAAGTAAAAAATTGTCAGAATTTTTTGTATGTATCAATATTTAGTACCTGAGATTCCAATCATAAAAATTACCAATCCTCTTGTTAAAATTGTCATCGACAACCATGAACACTGAAGTGAATTTATACTTTTATTAGCATTTTTCAATAACGATATAATAAAATTTTGTTGATGGAAAGATTGTTGAATTTACAACTTTAATCTTAAAAGGCTTGATTTAAGTTTTTTTTTTTTTTTCATTTGAAAAGAAAAAACTTTCGAAGAAGTGACAATTAAATTTTGTCTCTAAATTTATCATATTGAAAATTCATGTACATTTCTGCTAAATGTAGTTTTCAAGGAACAAAAATTCATGAATTACGAAAAAAGAAGCATTTATTTTGTGTCATTAAAAAGACGTAATTAAAAGAACGGAATGAAAGGGATGGAAGTGAAACTTGGGACCCAAAGAACAGATAGTTGTCAATTTTTTTTTTGAAGGAAAGGGCCAATCAAATAAAGACAACATTCAAGGAGAAATAGCTTTCAAGCTGCCAGCACAGTTACATACCAATAATTTTAAAATAGCTTCGAATAAGAAGAACCAAGAATCTACACGGAATTGACTTTTTTTTTTCTTTTTATTTTCCACCCCAAGATAAAAAAGAGTAAAAGTAAAAAAAAAAATAGTAACTTTTTTTACATAGCAAAGAGGAAAAAAGAAAGACTAAGAGATACGTAAATTAAAATATTTTAAAAAAAGACTTATTTTATGAGAAGAAAATATTTTTATCCAGCCCAATGGCTTTTCTAATTCGATGGTGGGACCACCGTGAAACACGTGTCATGATGTGACAATTTCCAGTTTTTCTCATCAAAGCTGAAAGGATCAAATGGCTTGGCATCTTCTTCTCAAATCTTCTGGAGCTTCTCTGCTTTGACCACCGGATTAGCGCGTGCGATCTCCTCTCTCCCAACCTTCTTGAAATCGAACGAACATCCGTGATTCTCTGGGTACCTGTGGGACCCGCAAAACGTAATCCCGCACCTACACTTAAACCCGGTCAAACCGACCCTCTTCCCGCAAAACATGCACCGACTCGGTTGTTGCTGCGGCCGCTGCTCAGACGCCATAGCAATCTCGACAGCCGGAACCGTTGATTCTCTGTTGACTTCATGGAGATTCAATAGAGGAACCTGAGAAACAGATTCAACGACAGTTGACGAAGACGAATGAGATGAAGAAAGAGATGATTTGATCGAAGAAGCTCCTTGTTGTTCCTTAAGACGGAAATCTCTGTAACATTTAGAGCAAAGATTCATCGTCGCCGGACTACCGAAAAAGCCGCAGTTATTAACGCAAAGACGGTGGCCTTCCGGCTGTTGGCATCTATGCTCCTCCACCATCCTTTTTTTCTTTTGTAATCTCTCGATCTGTTTGATTTCTTGAGAATTCTAATTTACTTGAGATCAGATCTGGAACAAAAATTATCCACAAATTAATCAAACTTTAGAAATAGCAGAAAAATAAAATTAAATTAAAAGGAGAGGAAGAGAAGTACCTCCAAAGGAGAAGCTGAAAGGAAAGAAATAAGCAGAGGAAATGGAGAATATGAACAACGGAAGGAATTATCAGAATGAAAGAGTCAGAGGCAAGAATATTATAGGGAAGGAGGAAACAATGACGAAAAAGGCACAAAAAAAAAAAACGAGTAATAATAATAATCAATGATTTTTTAATTTACAAGTTATAATTACATTTTTTTTAAATCATAATAAAATGGGAAATATCTTAAGTGACAGGCTGGCGGGTAAAAGGCCAAAAAAGAAAGTCCAGCGGCTCCTGCCAGTCTCCCTTTTTTTTTAACTAAAAAAAAGAAATTTAGTCTTCTCGAAATTACTGTTAAGAGCCAAATCAGGCAAGAAATCCGCACAACAACCCGCCCAGCCCAACCAGTGCCCTTTCTGGTTATTCTATTGCCAGCCAATCAAATACGGACACGAAAATTCTTGCATAAAGAAAGAGAAATTAAAATTACACCCATGTGCAATCAGTCCTATGCCCTGTCCGTTTAGGCTAACACGTGGCAGCTGATGGGTGGATTACTGGTTTTAGATTTATTAATTAAAACTCTTTTTTTCCTCATGTGGTCCTGTTGGTTTTTTCTCATTGGGTTAACAAAAAAAAAAAAAAAGGGAAATGTTATCTAGTTCATTGATAAGGCTAATGTGGGGATGGCGGTTGGCTTAGCTGGATGGAGTAAATTTGGTCAGATATTGCGTGCCAGAAAGACGCGCCATCTGGCGTGGGAGACGGTTGCTTTCAGCAGCCAATAATTGTGGGGCTTCGACTCTGTCAGAGCCGAGCTGGGGTTAGGACCACCAACCAATATATTAATCAGTAGTGGAAAGAAAAAACAAATAGGAAAGATGGAATTTCCTAATTGATAGTTTATTATATGATTATTCAAAATTTGTTTGGTTGTCCTCCTCAGTTTAGTTATGATTAGATTTGATCATTTTAAATATAATATTAAAATAATATAAATATAAAATATAAAATTAATATAATTTAGATTTTTAATAAAAATTATAAATAAATTTAATAAAATTAAAAATATTTTTTTATATTTTTTATGATATATAATTTTTATATAAATTATGATATGAATAAATAAATTTTTAATATTTTAATAATATAAATAAGTAAATTATTAGATTTAATTATGATGATCGAAATTGAAATAAAAAATTAATTTTCTTAAATGAGCTTAATTACGGTCCCTAAAGTTTTATAGTATTATTAATCAACATTCTTTTATTATTTATAAAACATAATTAAAATCAAGTCTTTAATCTCATTTTATATATAGTTTAAATGCAATAATTTGGATTAAGAATGTCAATGATTAGGTAGGAGATAGAATTCTTGTAAAAAAAAAAAAAAGAAATTTTACATTAGTTTCTAGTTTTGACATTTTCAATTTGTTTTTTTAACTTTGAATTAACAAAAGGTCAACATAAACTTGCTCAAACACGAGACTTTGGTCATAAAGTTATCATAGAACATTTGCTTTAAGTCTAAGTTATTTTTATTTAAAATAATTTGAATTTGAATTTGAATTATTAAAATTAAATTTAACTCTAAATCAACAAAAAATATACTATCATTTTTTTAATTTTAATATTTTTTTAGGATGATAATAATAACAATTGTTTTTTATGATATTTGAATTCTTGGGCCTAAGGCCAAGAATTTTAATTATTCAAAAGAAAAAAAAAAAGAATTAAGGCTTTCATTGAGATCCAAATGCAAAAAAGGAAAAAAATTATATGTAAATAATGTTATAAAATTAAAAAAAATTATTACTGTAACAAAAAGTTTATTATTATTATTATTTAAATTAATTCAATCAAAAGTGACTTGGATAATAAAATTTTGCAAATGCACCCCCAAAACGAAGTAGACCCCATTGCCAAAGAGCAGATTGGGCTGTTTCTTTAGCTTCTTTGTTCATGTTTTTTTCATTCTTGTTTGTGCCTATTCTCCGTACGTGCATACATACATATATATATATATATATATATATTTATAAGGCAGGGACGATTAGTACATTTTCGGTGTGATCCAAAATTTTGTACTATCTTTATTAATTAATGAAGCAATTTTGTACTATTATTCTTATAATTATTTAAATTTGTTCAATAAATAATTTTTTTAATTTTTTATTTATTAAAATTTTAAATTTTAATAAATTTATATTATTTTATTTAAAATAAATTTACAAAAATATAATTTAAAATAAATAATTATTTAAATAATTTAAAATAATTTGATAAATAATTTTATTTTTAAATTTCTTATTAATTAATTTTTTAAAATATTAATAAATTAATATTATTTTATTTTAATATTTTATTTCTAAATCATTATTCTGTTTTTTCTTTTATGAAAAAAAAATCAGTGTCTCCTTTTGCTCTCTCTATCTTTTGCAATCAGTTTCAATTATTAAACCATAAATTATGTAATATGGTACATTTTATTTATGCCTAACCTGAGCTTGTGTGTCTTTAGTAGAGTTATGCTTTACCTAATTAAAAACTAATCACAACCGTCTCAATGAGATGTTAGATTAATGATAAAGAGAAAGTTTTAGAATTTTGATATTTTAGATTTAAAAGTTTAATGTATGTGGATTTGATTTAATTTATATTAAATTTATTTAGTTAAATTATAATTTGTTAATTAATCTATTATTTATTTAATTATTTAATTATATAATATTTGATTATAAATGTAATTTATTTTATACTTGTAATGTAAAAAAACTTTCAATAGTATAACCAAATTACACATGGATCTCATTAACATCGTTATATAAGAAATTTTTTATAATAAGATGGAGATATTTCCAAGTTTGCCCCGGAATTAATTTCTATAATCTTTTATTTTATTTTTGCATATTTTCTGAAGACAACGTATCAAATTAACGTGCAAATGCAATCTAAAAACATCTTACTTTCTCCTCAAAATCCGGTTCGGGTTAGTGATGACAGTTTCACGTGGTACAAAGAACGGTGACTCGCAACTAACAGCAGTAACGGTTGGGTGAGACAACCCCCGCTCGTGCCTATTAGGAACGTGCTCTTTGCTCCCCAAGTCCAAGGAATTAACCCATGAACGGTAGCTAGTCAAGCAGCACTCAAGCTTAGATGCAGATCTCTGAAACTGACAAAAAAAAAGGGACCCTCAACTGACAAGGTACGTTGAAAAAAATAAGCTTTAAAAGCCTCTTTTTTTGGTGATGTTAACATCATTTTCTTATGATTTCACGGCTAGGACAGTAACCTACTAACCCACTTTGATTATTTCTAGTTTTCTTTGAGGTTCAAGCTCTTTTCTGGGGAGCTTCTTTTTTTAAACGCTTTTTGACAAAAAATGAACTGGAGTGCTGCAGGCAGCTGGTTCAAAAGTCATGTAACATTGAACAATTTGTTCAGACTTTTTCTGGGTCAAGTTGTTTCTTTTGTTCTTGCTCTTATGAGTTTTACTTCTTCTTTAATAGCCAGTCTTGGTAAGGTCAACTAAACCAGTGCTTTACATTTCATGGTCTTAATTTTTTCTGCCTTTTGTTTATTGCCTTTAGCTTTTTTGATTCCTTTTGGTATTTTATATTCTTGTTTGCATATGTTTATGTTGGTTTTTGTTTTAGGTGTTGATGCGCCTATCACTCAGACTTCCTTCACTTACTTCAGTTTGGCTGTGGTTTATGGTAGCATCTTGCTCTACAGGAGACAAAAGCTAAGGGTGATTATCTATCTATTCACTTATCATCACAAATACATATTCATATGTCTGGTTGCTGAGTGTTGTTTGTCAAAATAGATTAACGTAATTTTTAGTTGTAATTCATTTATATGGCGTAGAAACAAAAATTCATCTCAAGAGATATCTCTTTTTGCCTTGTTTAAGGAATTTTTTTTTTTTTAAATTCTATTGTTCTGAGTTTAAACTTTAAATAGTAATAATCAAGCTAAGTTTGGCGTGAAAAAAAAATCAAGCTAAGAAAGAAACTTGAATCAAGCTGTTCTGTTTGCAGATTCCTTGGTATTGGTATCTCGCCCTTGGCTTTGTTGATGTTCAAGGGAATTACCTTGGTGAGTAGTAGTTGCTCACATCTCATGTTCTCTCAAAATACATACATGCATTGGCCTGTGGCAGATGGCATTTGTTGTGCATTAAAGCTGAGAATTGTAACCTATATCTATATGAAATATGGGGTGATTGGGATAGCAGCTTATAGCTGGTTAGAAATTGATGTGGTAGTTTATGATCACATTTGAATGATATAAGTGCTGGGAAGGAATAATGTAAATTTACACTGTGATTTGAATATATTCAAATCAAGTGCATGTTCTGAATAGAAAAATCTCGGTAGAATGGGTTCGATTTGGATAGACTTTATCTGAATTATACTGATCTGTTACTGTCAATCATTGTGACGAAGAGCCTTCCTGTTGCTTTCATGCAGTTAATAAAGCATACCAGTTCTCCTCAATCACTAGTGTGACACTGTTGGACTGCTGGACCATAGTATGGGTAATAATTCTCACATATTTTTTCATAGGCACCAGATATTCTCTATGGCAGTTACTTGGTGCAGCTCTGTGTGTGCTTGGTCTTGGTCTAGTGCTCCTTTCTGATGCTGGGGTGGGTGGTGGAGGTATCATTCTTTTCTACTCTCAATCTACTGCAAATGGAATGTCTAGCTTTCGGCTGGTGTTTCTTTATGGGATGCTTTAATCCGTCATTGGCATGCCATTAATGGAAGTAATTCAAGTTTTCTGCACTTAGTTTACTTGTTTCTTTGCACCTATACCTTTAGTAATTTCAAGGAGAAATATTAGGAAGCCGCTGTAATTACATTCATTATCAATATATGATATCTTATTCTCATGAGTCACATTCCCATTTTACAGGCGGTTCAAAACCTCTTCTGGGAGATGTGCTTGTCATTGCTGGCACACTCTTCTTTGCCATGAGCAATGTTGGTGAGGTTGGTAAATCTATGGAACTCTTATAAATTTTTTCTCCAAAAGCAGTTTTATGTCAGTCGGATAAACTAGGGGAGCTATAAGCTTATTTATCTTAGCTATATATATACCTTTTTCATTTTCTTCTTGAATATGGAATACAAGGCCACTGATCATTTAACTTATCGACTTTTTCATTTCTAAATTGCAGGAATTTTGTGTTAAGAAAAAAGACCGTGTTGAAGTGGTTTCCATGATTGGTCTTTTCGGCATGCTAGTGAGTGGCGTTGAATTGTATCCTTTGTGCTAGGTAGCAGTATATGCTATATTATGACTCTCAAGTGTCTTACATGCTATCATTCTATATACATTGAAAAATATATTCTTTTAATTCCATAACCTTCTTTTAGATCCATATTTGAGCTAAAGACCCTGGAATCTGTAACATTGTCCACAGATATCGTAAGTAATCTATTCCTGTAAGAAATTTATTGTCTACACTCTGCACTGATTTCATAGAATCATGTCTTTAAGTCTTCAACAATAGGTTTTGCCATGTAGCAGAAGTATGAGTTCCATTTTTAGGACAATTTTTTCTTGCTTTCTTTGATGTGTTCTGGTGGAGATCCTTCAGCACCTGATTTGTGAGTTAAATCCAATCATTCAGCCACTTGAAACAGCAATTAGTTGATTCACTGTTCCATGTTAAGATCTTATCCCCTATGCTTGTTAAAAGACCTTTACCAGCAACAAATATAATATACATTTTATGACTTTAGAAGATGACAAATATAGGGGGAAAAGAATCAAGCTTGATCAAGTGCAATTGTATTAACCCTACATAACGTTACATTTTGCACTTGTAAAGAGTCATCTGTTGTGTTCCAAGATGCAAGGAAGAGGCATTGGTGATTTAGACATTGCATTTAATGATTTGATTGCTTCCATTATTGCATTTCCAAGTAAATTCTCTGCTATTCTGCCAAAATATCTTCCTTTTGTCGTCTTTTCTTTTCAGATACTAGCCCTTTTTGGATACACATTGTCAAGTTTTATGTTCTACACCATCACGCCCTTTGTTCTAAAGGTGACTTTCTTTCTTATTTAAGTTAATTTAGCTTTTAATTCATGTCCTTTCTAATGAAATTCATACAATGTGAAGTTTAGCTTTGAAGTTTCTTATTTTGCTTGCAGTTGAGTGGAGCCACAATGTTTAATCTCTCTCTGCTCACGTCCGACATGTGGGCAGTCGTCATTCGAATCCTTTTCTATCGCCAGCAGGTATTCTTTTCAAACTGATACGTCTGGTTCTGGATCAATATGAATCCATTGCTTCAATATTGCTTCAATATGCATAAGCAAATGCCATTGTTTTACTGTCACCACATTGCAGGTTGATTGGCTATATTTTCTTGCTTTTGCATTTGTAGTCATTGGACTCATCATCTATTCAGTGACGTAAGTTTAATCCTTGTAAAACAGTAACTTCTTGGGATTCTTCATCATCAATATGCAAAATAAGCATTGTCAATTTATCTCTGTTTTTTTCCTGACAGTGATAAGGACCCTGTCCCTGAAGCACTTGTCGAGGATGGAAACGACAGTATAAAATACGAAGTGCTTAATGATGAAAATATAGCAACGAGGGACGAGTCTTTGGCCTCATGACTGATCAAGGAAGGTAAGGGGGTTGGTCACGGCAGTTTTATGTCCCCAGAATGCCTTGTTTTTTCCTTTGTTCCCCTTCAATCTTTCGATCAACAGCAAGAGGAGCTTCAGTTTGGAAAGATGAAGAGAAACTATCTATAATATTCCATGATCGGAATGCTGAACTTGTCCATTGATGAAATGAAGCAATCACCTACTTGGTAACTCAAACCCATCCAATTTGACGTATTCTCTGTATTTCTATTTGATAAAAGAAGGAATCGTATCTTCTATTGTAATTTTATTTTCAGCCATGTCTCCTTTCTTCATTTTTTTCTTAATCTGACTGAAAACTCTCTATTACATTTGTAACTAAATGACATTGAGCCACGAGGATAAGGATTTTTAGCCATATTATTGATTTTCATATTAAATTTTATCAATATATTTTTATTTATATGAATTTTTATTAAATCATTTAAAAAAAAACTTCACAATTTTTATTTAAAAAATTGTCTAAATTTCTTCTTGAGCGATGATGGATGATTTAAGCTATGACTTTCACATTTCTTATATGTTTGGAATATATGTGACTAGGAAAATGATGTTTATTTGAATGAAATCAACTTATCTTTTTATAGATTATAAATCATCGATAATATATAAATTATAATATTATATGCGTATATAAAAAATTATTATATCAATCAAAAATTAAAACATAATTAAATAAATTCATCACAAAATTAAATAAAATTTGCATACAATAAAATTTAAATTTAAAATCTATTTTTTGTCACTAAATTAGGGAACGGGTAGAAGTAAGAGTTTTTTCCCAAGATGGTGTCCTTCGAAATCTTTATTCTTTAACCATAATTATTTTAAACTTATTTCTCTGAATAGGGTTATCTAAACCACATCATTTTCATGTCATTTTTTATTGAATAAAAAAATTTTCATGTTAATAAAAAAATATGTAAAAAATAAACAAATTAAAACAAAACCTTAAACCCCAGCTGCTCAATTCTTTGACCTTTCAAGAAACTAATGCCAAGAACGAACTTTCTGTGTCTCCTTACTAGCTTTTTCCTTGGGATTGAATCAGATAAAAACCCACTACAGCTTTCTGCTGTAAGAGAGTTTTTTCAATTTTTAAAAGGAGAAAAGTGTGACTTGTCCAGGTTTGGAGGTTCAAATTACAGTGGTGGTAGTGGCAATAATGGTCGAGTTTGGAGAAATTGAGTTGTAAGAAGAAAGATGGGTGGCACTCAAGAGAGCATAATCTTAGTGGGCAAGGCAAATCCAGACTACAAAATGGGGCTTGCTGTATACGAGTGGAATAAGTAGGCTTTTTTTCGATTGAAGCTCTCCTCAAACCATTTTTTATGATTGAGCATTTCCTGAGTCAGTGAGAAAGCTCTGCTTTAAGCCTTTCTTCAAAGTTATAGCAAGCCCTTCTTTGATCGGGCATTTTTGCGAGTTAATTATACACCAATTTCTGGGTATTTTTGCCAGATCTCATTCCTAATCTTATTTATTGACTTTGGCGAAATACGCCCCAATTGCAGCAAATTCTGTGTAACCAAGCGAAATGTTGAAAGTGTCTTCCAGGTGAGTTCAAACCGAATGGGGAATCATCCTCCATAATTGGTACTGCTCTTACTTTGACTCTGACTCATTACTATATCTTGTTTTTTTTGGTATATTTACTTTTATTTCCATTGTGCCATTTTAAAAAAATCAATTAATTTGTAATAATTTCCAATGCATACTCAAGCATACGTTGTTTGAGGCTCGACTCTATTATTAGAACATGGGATTGAAAAAGATCTACTTTAGGGGATGATTTGATGGGGTAACTTTTCTTTTTATCAAAAAAAGGTATTATAATTGATGTTATTTTAAATGTTGTTTGTGTGAACCGATCTTTCATTAATCGAAAGCAATGCATAGCTTTGAATACAGCTTCACATTCATGAAATTATGTACACATGCTAAAAGTTGAATGGGAATTTCACTTTATTTGCTTTGTGACTATATGAAAATTTTGTGATTAATTGGGTTCTACTGGCATTATGTTGGGCAATTTTGAGGTCTGGGGTTGTGAAGTTGTTCTGACAGAGTGACAATATTGTTGTAAGTAGGCAGTTCAAGAGAACTTCAAAGACTTTATGATGGGATTGTTGAGTCAGCTGATGGCTGTCGGTTGGATCTATGCAATTCTTGAGAAGACTGTCAGGTAGACGTTCTGCTTTATTACTCTCATGTTTAGACCATTGTTTTCAAATTTTACTTATATATGGATATATTACATTCATGTTATTCGTTTTAAATAAAATTTATTTTCAAAATTTTTTTATTGTATTATTATATCAAATACTTTTTTAATATTTTGTACCTTTCTTTGCTCTATAGTTCAACTCCAAAATATAACCCCATCAAAATTTGCAAAGTTTCTTTTAAGTTTGTTTTCTAAATAGAAAACTAGTTTATTCTCAATGAGTGAATTAACTCTGTTAAAAAAAATATGAGTTTTAAAGTTTTTTTTTTAATTTTCATTTTTTATAAAAATATTTTCATTTTTGTTATAGAAAGATATGAGCAACAGTGACAATGAAAAAGAAAAAATCAAAATGGTTGTCATAAAATACCTTTATTAAGGAAATAAGATTAAAAATGCTTTTATTAAGGAAAAATTATTCTATTCTATCTTAGTGTAGGAAAAAACTCCATTGCTTTATGCTTGGTAGGTAGGATAGTGTTGCTTCATGATTAACACTACTACTGAAGTGATGATATCTGGTCAAAACCTCTCTAGTATACATTATTTTATATCTGTCATACATTATCTCTGTTCACAAATTACTTCAGATTCAAACTTTTCAAATCATAGCCACAGCTTCAAAGCTTGCATAACTAAACCCATCTTTCTGGTGTAACATGAATGGTAGAAATTACAGCCCTTTCAATTGCATTCATTGAATAACCACAGGGATCAAACTCAAAATCACATATTTTAGAATCTTGAAGGATCTTCTTTATGCCAGATTTAATGGTCATCAAAATTGCCAAGCCTGATTGGTCTTTGTAAAAAATTGAAGCCATTTCCTATCCAAACCAGTCAAGCACATTTCTACAGTGTAAATAGGGCCACTGGTGATAGCTGATTCTGCAAATTTAGAGTACACATGCTATTTCTGTTTGTCGAGTCCACCTATTATATATGCATTGCTACCAGCGCCAAGCTTCCCAAAATAGTTATCAAAGATAGCAACTTCTTCAAAGAAGTTACAATGAGGATAGGGCTAAGCACCAGGGAAGATAAAACTCCCATAAGTATACCTTACAGAATTTATGGCAAAATCAGTTCTACAGATGCTACTCCATCAAGATCAGTTGCAAAGAATATTAGGCAAAGACTTGCAAATGTCATTGAGATTTCTTGTGACTTAGTCAATAGGGATCTATAAATGAGAACTTTGTGAAAGACTATTCAAAATGTAATTTTTTTCTCTTTTATATTCATTTGTTTGTTGATATTGCAGCTATTAACTTTGTATTAAAGCTTCCCTGTTTTGTTTTAGGTAATAAAAATATTCAATTTTCTTTGAATCAAGCACATATTTGTAGTTGAATAATGGGAAGTTGATAATTATTTAGGCTAAAAGATTTTAAATATTTTATGCTCCTTACTCTAAAAAAATTATGCTAAAACCAATTAAATTACAAAGTAACCAACATTTTCATAATATAATTAAAAGACAAAACTAGTAAATTGAAAACAAAATCATAAAGCCTTTATGAAACTATGAAATGAACAAGTTCATGTCTTAAAAATAAAAACAGTATGCCTGCTCAACAAATCTACTTGGATATGCCATTTGCAATCACTCCCTCCATAATTTTTCTTAGAATTCTTAGTAACCCTGCATATATTTGAAAAAAATATGTATTAAATAATTTTTAACTTGAAAAGAAAAAAAATATTACTCATGAATATCCATTATTTCCTAGCATTAGATAAATAAATTCCTTTTATCAATCTATGAAATTGGACTAAAAAATAGAAAGTCTGGTCTCAAAGATCCATTGCTGAAAATTTTAGCATTGAAAATGGAAAACAAAGATAATATAGAGAAAATGCAAGCAGAGATACTAGCACAAATAGAAAAAATTGATAATTTATAAATTAGGTGTAATAAATATAAGGTGCTGGTATATTCCTTGGAAAAATAAGTTATCAAATTACATCTTCAATAAACTTAAATGAAAAAGAATAAGAAATACCTTATAATTCATATTAAACTGCAATTGCATTTGAATTTTTATGTCTTTTCATTTGGCATGTCCTACGATCATGGCCTGGCTTTTTATAAAGTTTGCAACGAATTGTTGTTCGACCTTCATTGATATCCATCTTAGTTCTAATTTGTGTGGACTGTGGTCAACCTTTTTTTGAGCATCTAAGATTAGGGTCTGCTAATAATTACGAGATATTAGGCTCTGGCCAATAAGCTTCATGAAGGATTGGATTAAACTAAGGTGCTCAAGTTTGAGAATATTGTTCAATGAAATAATACTTTTCTATATATTGCCAACTATCAAGTGCCAACCTTCCACGTACAGCCATCACATGTGAACAGGGAAACTTATAAATTTATCATTTTCCACATGTACATGTTCTTTTATCAAGTTGAACAACTTGTTTATTATGACCTCGTTACATTCTCTCACCATAAGATGCAGTTATTACTTCAAACACTCCCTTTTTGTATATCAAATGGAACAAGATCATGTGTGTTAGCCTTTGCTAGATAACCTTGAAATTTAGCTGTAACATGAGGAGTGTACAAGTCTCCTTTTACTAATGCCTCCAATGCAAAACTCCGTCTGATGCTAAAAAAATTAACCAATCAATAAAAAGGTTAATTGCACACATGCTGTGATAGGTAAATTTCGAGCCCCTTTTAGCACACTATTGAATACCTCAGATAAATTAGTTGTCATTATTCCGTAATGTCGACCACCATCATGTGCCAATGCCTATTATTGCACTGGTATCTCATCTAACCATTTTCGAGCTTCAAGATTAATCTTGTCTATCTATTTCATTATGGTATCAAACTTTCGTAACTGATGTGCATTTCTAGCTTTATACATAAGTTTTTTCAATTTTTTATTATGAAACTTATCATTGAAATTACTGCATATATGTTACAAACAAAATTGATGATAAGCCCATGGTTCTTGTCATCTAGAGCCAGGCTCATTCATTGCTGCACGAATACTGTAATGATGATCAGATATCAAATAAATCCCTTTTCGTTGAGTCATTTTCTCTCTAATGCAAGTAAGAAACCATTTCCAACTATTAAAAGATTCTTCCTCAGCAATAGTAAATGTATGTGGCAAAAGCTGGTTATTAGCATCAACTCACATTGCAATAAGCATTTTACCTTTATATCTTTCATACAAGTGAGTAGCATCAGTACTTATAATTGGTCTACAATACTTGAACCCTTCAATGGAAGGTGAAAAGGCTCAAAAAACACAATGGAATAGTCCGAATACTCTAACAGTAGAATCACGCAACTACTCAATTTACCATATAACAATCATTCCATTATACTTTTCAAGTGCAGCAATAAATTTAGGTAATAACCTATAAGATATGTCCCAATCACCAAAAACATTTGTAATGGCCTTTTATTTTGCATGCCACATCTTCTTGTATGAAACATCATAAAAAAATTTATCTTTTACCTTGGCATTCAGAGCTGCAACTGTAATCGAAGGTTCAACTTTCACTTGACTTTCAATCTCATGTGCTAATAATTTTGAGTCTAGTTATGGGTGATCACGACTCAACCTTGGGTAGACATATGTATGAAGGTCATCATATTGAGTAATCTCAAAAAGTTCATGACTTCTATGTTGATATGCACGAAGTCATCATACTTTTCGATGTCTTTTACACCTCAATGACCATATCTTTTTTTTTTGTTTCCACCACTTCATACTTTTGGTGTCTCTTGATGGAGTATAATTGTACAGCTCTTTTCAATTTTACCTTATCTTGGAAAATTAAACCTTTTCTCAACTCAAGATCAAGATTCCAAGCAAAACTTCGGCTTTGTGGTGTCAAATTACTAGTAATAGCATGATCAACTTGATCCATATTGGTGAAGAATGGCATGTTTGGCTCATGAAGTGGCACCTTTATAGTGGTACTATCAGCTTCTAGGTTAATATCTTCAAAATCTTCTTGCTCTTCATGTTCTTCATTTTTTTTTTCAAGTACTTCATTATTCACATTCATATCCTTGAATATATCGTTAGATTCAAAATAAACTAATTGTTCCACTACAGTTATATTTACACTAGTATCTTTGTCATATTGGCTAATACTTTCGTAATCTGAGAATCCAAAAATATTACCTATGATTGATACTTGCCTTTCCATGGTAGGTTCACTACTACTTGACAAAATTAGATGATTAGCATGGTAGGTAGTAGCACGATCCAACGAAGTGTCATTGTCTTGTGTTGGCAATTGAACAAATGGAACAAAACTTTTGGATTGACCCTTATATTCGACAGGTCCAATAAAAATTGATTCCACTTTTAAATACAATTCAACATTGCTAATAGATGGATGAATAGATGGAATTTCCAACATGATATCTATGTTGGCATCATCCACAATAGGTAAACGAATATATTTAATCATTGATGATTGCACTATTGTTGGATACCGATAAACCAAATTTAGTCGTGCTCGCTCTCTATCAAATCCTGTAATACAATACATCTTGTTCATCAATGTGTTGGATTTTGTTTTTTGCTTCAGTTTAATTACTCTTAAAGGAGGATCATCATAACACAAGCCATTTGATCCTTCAATGAAGCTACCATTCCAATAACAAAAAATTGGAATTTTTCTTTCAGACATTACCAACTAGCATTGAAATAATAAAAAATAATTATTAGCTCAATATCATATATAATAAGAATTCAATAATATATAAAATATGCCATCTAGAATTGCTTTGGATACAAAAGTAAACAATTCAAGTAGAAAAGCCATTCACTTTGTCGAGCTATTTACAACGTAAAAAATTTGAAATCAACTTACTATTAATTCAAACAATGCAATTGAAGTTGTATTGCATATATCTTTGACTAGAGATTCTACCTATAATTAAAAATTGTAAGAAAAAATATAAGCTAAAGGTATGATTTTTCATTCATTTATAAAAAAGTCCATAAACAAGCAATGTTCACATGTTGATTAATGCTCGTTGTAAACTTTATGAAATATTAAACTCTAGTCTAAAGCCCTGTATGGCCTGATCATGGAGAAAGTTACATAAGCAAATATGTCCTTAGTTATATGGTTTATCTTAGCTTAAGTTCAAATTTTGAGTTCATCAAAATGTATGAAACTCTCACTAAAAACAAAAAAAAGAAAGAAAATGATGCAATAATGACAAACAAATTTCTTTTTGTCAAGAAAAAAAATTAATAACAAAAAAATTCTAAATTAAAGTAACCTAATAAATTATGGTCTATACATGTAAAAACAAAGCCTACTGTATGAATTCTACTAATTTTGCTTGTCTAATTAACATGGAGAGTATATTACAATTCAACGCCATAACTATAAGGTTTAGGATTCTTATAAAATCAAAAATTTTTTCAAATCAAGAATAATTTGCCAAATATAATTCCCTTTGCAAACCTTTATGCTCCAAAATTTTGTGGAAAAAATTGTGTTTAATAAAAAAAATAAAATGTAAAAAAAATAGATTTAGGGTTTATAAGCGATTATAATTTAGGAAAAAAAAACCTTACAAGTTTAATGTTTCAATTTTAAAAAATATATTTTTTATTTAAATTATTGTTTAAAAAATATGATATGAAATTGACACGTTTTTTTGACATAGCATAAATACCTTTCTTAAATAAATAAATTTTAAAGTACCGAAATAAAAATTTTAAAAAACCTTACCGTTGGAAAAAACTCGTAGAGAAGTAGGGCATGTAACAAGATTATATTAAAAGAAAAGAAAAGAGAAAAAGACAATTTTGTTGTGCAAATAAAAACACCCCCACCCTCCACTTCACTAACCAACGTTTAACTTGCTTAATCCCTCTTTTCCCTCCACTCCACATGGACCAACAACAACAGACTCAGCCAACCCATAATGCTCCTCCTCCCACCACCCCCACCGCCACCACTGACCCACCTCAACAACCACAACCGTCGCAGCCGCAGCCGCAAGCGCCACAACTTCAACAACAAACAACCCCACCTCTGCCCTCCACAACACCCTCAACATCCTCCACCCCAAACCCTAACCCTAACCCTAACCCTAACCCAAACCCGAACCCGATCGCGAAACCCTTGCCTTCCCCAACACAACCACCCCAACAGCCACCGCAGACTAAACCAACTATCCCTATTCCTCAGCCCAGACCCACCTCCGCTACTACCGCTTCATTCTCGAGGCCCTGGCAACAGCACTCCTCCCAGTTGGCCCATTTCTCTTCCTCTTCTCCCTCTGTCTCATCGTCCCCTTCTTCTATTCTTTCATCTCAGCCGAGAGGCAGCATTGCCCTCGGTGTTCCCTCGTCGCATTCTAGCCATTCTCCTTCGTCTCCTTTACCTTCGCAATCCACTCCGTTTTCGGGTTCCTTTGGTCATTCCTTCGGTGGAGCCTCTAGTTCCAATGTTTCCCAGGTAGGGTTTTAAGCTTTTGGTTTCTTTTCGATTACAATTTTAAAGTTTTTGATGTTGAAATTTTCTTCTCACTTTGATCTTTTCTTAATAGGCAAGGCCACTGATGCAAGGAATAGGGATGGGAAGTTCTCATATGAGGCCAGGTGGAATTTCTGCTCAGCATCAACAGAGGCCTGTGCAATCATCTCTTAGACCGCCATCTTCACCAACTAGCCAGACCCCTTCCACCCAAGTTAGTAGCTTGTTAAAATTAATGTATTTTATTTATTGGCTTCGTAAATGTGTTTACTTTTATATGACATTGATTTTTGTGTTTCCTGTATTTGATGCTATGGTTGCTGTAGATATCAGGTTCAGCATATTCCAATAGAAGTCTTAATGATGTTTTAGAATTTTAAGAAATGCCGAAGAAATGTTAGCTGAATCTAGAAAATTATCTCTTTTTCCTTGTCTTTTATTTTTTATTTTTTAATCTTAGTTTGAATATCATATTGGTAGGTCGAATTAAGCTGCTTTAAGGATTTTGTAAAGAAAGCTAGGGTGTTACTGTCTACCGTATAACTTATTATTGCCATCTTGTTTATAAATGCTGGGTCAATTTGTGTTTCATGCGTTTTTTAGTGGTAGTATGTAACTCTTTTTCTTGTTTCTTTTTTCCCTTTTGTAGAATTTCCAAGGGCATGGCCTTACGAGAGTGTCAGCTGTTGGTTCCTCAGGTTCTTCGGCACCAAGTACACCACAAACTCCGCAATCACCTAATCAGCCATGGCTATCATCTGCAGCACAGGGGAAGCCTCCTCTGCCACCCCCTTCGTTTAGACCACAGATTAACTTGCCATCCTTGCAGCAAAGGGCACATATTCCCCCACAACATCATTCCTCGCCAACAGTTTCACAACAACAGCATGTATCATCTCCACAGGTGCCACAAACTATATCGTCACATCAACAGCAGGAGCATTTTGGACAACAATTTTCACAATCAAGGGCCCCACAATCTTTACCCCATCAACAACAAGTTTCGAGAGCCCAGGGTTCTGCAAATCATAAGCCTTCTTCTCTTGCAATGGTACAACCAAGCACAGTCCAGCTGGTGAACCATAATAAAGCAGCTATTACAGAAAGTGACGAGTCTGGTGGCCGGATTCTTAGCAAAAGAAGCATTCATGACCTAGTTAACCAGGTGAACTATTCAGGACCTGGCTTTACATTTAACATCCTTTGGATTATATTGCAGGATCTTAAGTCTTACTGACTTATTATATGTCTATCTACCAAATCTATACGTTGTTTGAAAACTTATCTAGCATCTCATGACCTATAAGGAAATTATTTCAATTATTTAAGCTGTATATGTACTGTATGTAAAAAGGTTAATAGTATTGAACAAAATTTTCTCTTATTCTCCACATATTTGCTGTGTTATGCCCTTCATCTATTTGGTTTGTATTCAATGGATATTAAGTTACTCCATTTGAACATTGTATATTAGTAATTTGTCTTTGTTGGTGACCGACATAAATGTTCATGATCATCATTGAGGATTCTAGCGACAAAGGGATGTTCTGCATTTATGTTTTGATGTATGTGCTTTTCAGAATAGAAATTTTCTCTAGGCATTCATTGAATGATTATTGAGGGGGGAGGTCTTTAGCAATTTGCATTTCCTCACATCCTGACTACAATAGCAATATATATATATATATATGTATGTATGTATGTATGTATGTATGTATGTATGTATGTATATATTTTTGTTCTTGTAGAGTTCTTATGGAGTTTCATGCTTCTGTATCTGCAATATGACTTCTTTATTTTTGTACAGATTGATCCATCTGAGAAGTTAGATCCTGAAGTTGAAGATATTCTTGTGGATATTGCAGAAGACTTTGTGGATTCTGTGAGTTGTTGAACTTATATTCAAAGAATTCATTATACATACACTTGGGGTTGGGCAGATCCCAAAATACTTAAAGGACTTGCCAACTATGAATTTCTTATTAATACGTTTCTTAAATTTTATTTTTCTTTGATTAAGCTTATTTTGCTTGGTGTGAAAACAATGTAGTCTGCTAATGGATTATAATTTTTCCCTTCAACAAAAGAAAATGTGAACTGAACCTAAATATTTTTATTCTTGTCCTTTTTGATTTGTTGTACCACATAGGTTGATCAGCTAATTGAGGTTAAACATGCACTCTGACGAATTTTGTAGAATGTCTTCAAAATTTTAAGAACAATAAGTTTCATTCCACACCCTAAATAGAGACCTATATTCCAGGTTTCTCTGTCCTAGCTTGGTATGGAACTCTTATATTTCCTTTTCTAATTAGGATATTTTGAATTTTTTCTCCGTTGTTGTGTTGGTTTTTCTCACTGCATTTTATGTGGATACTATGCCACTTAATGCAGTACTTTCTACTTTATTCTATAAACTTTTCGACAGCTGATATGAACATTATCTGGTCCTTTTGTTTCAACTTTTTTGTCAATAGATCACGACATTTGGTTGCTCACTAGCTAAGCATAGAAAATCAGATACATTGGAAGCAAAAGACATTCTCGTACATCTTGGTTAGTTATTCCGTAAAATTATCCTCTTTGGTTTCTTTTTCTTCTTTAAACTTCGAGCACTTTAACTTTTACTGTTTTATGGCTTGATACAGAGAGAAACTGGAATATGACTCTTCCAGGATTCAGTGGTGATGAGATTAAGACTTACAGAAAACAGGTAAAGTTGTTTCCAAAGTTCTCTTTTATCTGTAGGACGGTGATGTTAGATGCAAAGTTGTTTGTAAAGGGAATTTAATTCTTAGTAGATTTAGATTTATGACTTTTCGTGATTATTGTTTTGTTGGTTTTTCAGCTTACAAATGAGGTTCACAAAGAGCGGCTTGCAGTGGTAAGTTTTGGCCTCAGTATATTTCGCATTTCATAGCATATGAACTAATTAAGATGTGTTTGTGTTTTTTATTTTTCCTTTATGACTGTGTGAAGAGAGAGATAGTATGCCCCTGACATTATGTTAAGCTATGTATAGGCTTGCATTTTTGAATCATTAGGAGATTGTGGCTTTCTAGTGAACTTTCTTCTTGTAAATTTACGTATCTGGTGTCTGTTTCTCTTTGGCAGATAAAGAAATCAAATTTACTGAGTGAGGCAGCCAATGCTAAGCACTTCAGTGGAACAGCTGCTGTAAATGCAAAAGGTAGCCTTGGAAAAGCAGCTGCTAATATCTTGGGCTCTCCAAATGTTAAAATATGAGAAGTAACATGAGGCTCCTTTTTTGACAATGTTGAATGTCTGAAACTATTTTGCTTTGAAGGTATGCCTATTATCTTGCAGGTCTAAGTAACTAATATCCATAAACTCAACAATCAGCATTTAATTGAATATTGGAATGGTGCTTGAATTAGGCCCCTAATGATACTTAGGTAAAACCATGGTTATAAAGCTTTTAAAATTGTTGAGAATGTTATTCATTGGTAAAATTTTGTTTCAGCAATTCAAGAAAATTTCTTCTGTGTGCTCCTATTTTTCCACTTGTTTATAGTTTGTCATAATAGGTTTGTTTTAGGTCATATATGTTATGTACTGGGAGTTGCTCCTGTGCCACTGCATTTTTCATTGCGATTAATTTAATTAGCCTGTCTAATATTGCTCTCTGAGAAAGGTTGGATTTGAAACCCCAGTCATGTTTTATAAAGAGATGAAGCTGGCATGGACTGATTGCTGTGTGCTGACTGTTGTGCATTATTCAGAACTTTTGTAAAGGTTTCCCTTTTTTTTTTAATGTCCTTGTTCCTTGATTTTATGCAGGATCAATTACCTGAGAAGCATTATCACTGATGGGATGGAGGAACCAAACTTTTTTACTTTACCTAGGATGTGCATAAATTCATTTTGAAGATTGTATTTTGCACATCTCAAATGGAGCTAGGTTGAGAATTTTTAAAATTTAATGAGTTGGTGCCTCCGGATCTTGTATTCATCACCAACTTCCATTATATCAGGCCAAGTCCAATCGCACAGGAAAAATTCCGTCTCCTTGGCTGCTTTTTGAATTTTGATACAGGGTAGGACATGTGGGAAGAAACTTAACAGAAACTTGCCAGAAACCAGACCGTGAATACAAATCGACTGTCCCTTATTCTCCTTACCCAAATCCCTTGCTCATTTCGCAAAACTTTCCACTTTTATTGATAGTGTGTGTTGATAGTGCCATGTTGTTTGGTTTCTACTCATTGTAGAAGGATAAAAGTGAAAGGGAAGTGACAACAACTATGAAACAGAAGGAAACTTATATCACTTGGTCCTCAATTCTTCATAATCTGCCAATACAATGGAAATCTTCTATCCTTCTCCTGCCATGGATAACTCTTCCCCTACAGGCTCTGAAAGTGATAATGAAAATCCCAATTTATTCAGTTAAAATTGATGGAAACATGGCAAGTGAGTCGTTGAGTCCTTGAACGATTTCTTAGAAATAAAATTCATGAAAAGATTGAGATTACTTTTGATTCTGAGTATGTTGTCGGATAGAGGGGAAAGTTTGTTGTAAGATGAAGCCAGCTTCTCCAGTCGGCACAAGCATGTGCTGACCGCTGAGGATATGCGGTCCGGTTCTGGTGACTACCGGTTTGCTGAATATCAATTTTCATGTTACGTGCTTCAACGAGCGCCTCGACTTTTGGGACGCGAACCATTTTTTCCATTTTCAGTATCTAACAACAATATATTTTGTTCAGTTTTGTAATCATTTATGTTCTCTTGCAAAAAAAAAAAAACCCAAACTTTGCGTGCAGTCATGTGCTTCCCCATCCATTCCAATAACAAAATAATTCTATTTTAATTATTCAAAAATATTACCGTACTCTATTTTTTTTATTTATAGTATTATTCATTACAATCTGTCAGTTGTCTTTTAATTTTTTGCTTTTGAAAGCAAAATCTAACAATAGATATAAAATTATTTTTTATTTTTAATATAGATGTTAAAAATTGAGTGTCCAAGTGCAACATATTGTCTAAAATTGTTTATAATATTCTGATGGGATATGGACAGTTTATTTATGTAAACTTTAACTAAGGTAGGAGAAGATTCATTGGTCATATTTACACACGTTAAATGTCATCATTTGCCAATTGAGGTTTGTTGGTTCGGAAAAATTCAAATATTTTATTTTTAAAATTTAAAATTTTAGTTTTACTATTAATAGTATTTTTTGAAGAGTAATTTATAAATTGAATATAAATTTTTTCTAAAATTTACATTTTACTATCAACTTGAAATCTCACCTTATTTTACACAATATATTATTGTGAAACTAATTTTGGATAATTTTACCAAGTTATGGCTGAGTAGGACATTTAATAATCAGATATACTGGTTTTGTTATTTTTCTTAAAAGCTTGTTTAATTTTCTAATTGACCGAATGGCTAAAAGATAATATATATATATATATGTATTATATCGCACTTAGATTTAAACTATGAAAGTTATTTTCTTTGACAAAGATAGTTCCTCGGTCTTATCTAATTCTTGGTTTGTACAAAGTCGTAGTTCCTTCTTGTCTATGAGACCATTTGTTTTGAATTTTCTTGCATTTCACTTTCAAATTCGGGGGGTCTTAGTCATACTCTAAAAACCATAATTTCGTATGTCGAAACTCTAACACCTAACTTTTTGCTTTGAATGTAGAGATTCGAAATTGAATTATCTTCCTTGTTAGGCAGCCAATTTTGTAATTTTCAAAACTTATAATAATTTTATAATTTCATTTGGAATTAATAAGTTTAAGTCAAATCCACAATTTTAAACTTTATTTTGTAAGAACAATGAAAATTTTGTCATTTTAATGATTAAGTTACAAAATAAAATATTAGTTATAAAATTTAATTATTATATCAATAAATTTTTTATCTTCACTTTTTTTTATCCATCCTATAAAATAAAATTTTAATTGATTTATATAATTATTTTTAACAAAAAAATATTTAACAAATTTAAAATTTAAATTTAAATACTTGCAATATTATCTTTTATTCTTAGATTACAAATTGTAAATTTTTTTATATAAAAAAATGTAAACCGCATCCCCTTCTTTGAAATTTTTTTTAGACTTTTGCGATTCCTAAATTATGGGTTTTTTGTTATATCTTTTATTTAATTTTAATAGTTTTAATTTTTTAGTACACAATATTTTAAATTATATTATAAATAATGGGAGATAATTTTTCCTATTTCAAAAAATTAATCTCGTTTTATTTTAAAATTGGATTCGAAAATCTGTATATTCTTGCTTGTGCCACCGAAGATTTTTTCGTACATTCGCAATATAAACTTTTTGACTTTTTTTTTTTTTTGAAAGATACGTATCGAAAAAGGTTATCTCCGTTTTTTCAAACCATACAACTGGTCCTTTTTGTGATGCAGCCCGTGCCAGCATAGAATCCGAAGGACGGGACGCGTAGGATCACGATTTGGGTCCACTCAAATTAATCCACGTTTTGAACTCCCATTCGCTGTTTCTCAATCAAAATGCTGACGTCATCATTCGCCGCCTGAGTTGAAGTAGAAAGCTTTTGAGTTTGAAGGCAGCCACAAATCATAAATACCTCTTCTTCACGGACTCTTTGGTTGGCAGCGGCCTCCTCTTCGTCTTGCCTCTTTCGCTTCACGACAAATTCCCAATTAATTTTAATTTTTGTTTTCAAATCCATATTCATTGAAATTAATTGATAAACAATCAATTACTAAAATTTTCGATATAATTTATTCTACTTTTTACAAATATTATAAGTATTCCCGGAAATTGAGCTCTTTATTTTGGCGTTGAATATGGATTGTGAAACGAAGGAAAATTCTCGCGACGGGATTGTCGTTAACGGCGAAACCGACAGCGTTTTGGGGTCTCATGCCAACAGGAACAAGCTCATCATCGATACCGATCCCGGGATTGGTCAGTTTCTCTCCTTTATTTTTATTTTTTCTTCCCCTATTTACCATTGTGAAACTTTGGATACAAGCATAGATTCTTGAGCTAAGACGTAAAAGAAAATGCTAAACCCGTTTTGGGGTTCGTGGTAAATTGTTGAGGGTTGACAACTCTTGGCTCCGGGCTCTAATGGTGAATGAGTATTCAATTTCGAGGGGAGTAGCGAGATCTGTATAGGGAGGTTTCAGTTTTTGATAGATTTTTCAAATGGAGAAAATCTTAGTAAGCTATGAAAGGAAGTCAAACTGTGAATCTGACACTTGGAAAAGAATGTGAAGGGGCAGTTGGGGAGGGAACGTGAGGTTGATTTGATTGACAATTTTAGTTATGGGGGTGCGGGTGATTTTAGAACCTTTGTTTTGAAATATTCGGTGAAGATCCTGCCTGAGATGTGATTGTTTTCTTATTTGATTAACAGATGATAGCATGGCGATCTTAATGGCATTCCAAAATCCGGATGTGGAGATCTTAGGTTTGACGACTGTGTTTGGTAATGTTACTACTGAGGATGCCACTCGTAATGCCTTACTTCTGGTACGTGCTTGTATGTTGATTTGAAATTCTTATTTGTGGTTTTTATATGTTTTTGGAATATGTTCATGATCAATTCCTCTTTTTGAGGTGCAAAAGGATAGTGTGAGATCGCAGGGTGTCCTGGTGTTCCTGTAGCAGAAGGCAGCCCTGAACCTCTTAAGGTAAATGTTTAGGCATTCCCTAGCATGCCCTGCATCCATTACCCAAATTAGATTGTCATTGCCCCTGAAATGTTTAGGTATTCCCTATTCTTGGTTTGCTTCTGCTTCTAGTATTTGCACTTTGTTAGCCCAGTTTGACTCACAACCTTTTAACATGTATATGTTGACGGTTGATCCAATTTTTTTTCCTCTTAATTTTGTTTTATTATTTTTATAGCATATTCTTGGTAATTCGCTTCTGTTTCTACCATTTGCAATTTGCTAGCCCTTGTCTAATTTACTTTCTTTTAAGTTGTGTAGATGGTCCAAAACTTTTTTCTTCTTCATTTTAGTTTTCTGAATGTTTTTCTTCTTCATGGGGAAATCACCAACCTATTGCCTATTGAACTTATTTTTGTTGATTACTCTGATTTATTGTGCTTTCATTTTTTTTGTTGGGTTTTATGATCTCCTTTATTTACTGTAACCTAATCATGGTTTCTCTGGAAAAGGGTGGGAGGCCACGTGTGGCTGACTTCGTTCATGGCTCTGATGGACTGGGGCATATATTTCTACCTCCTCCGAAATCTAAGAAATGTGATAGGAGTGCCTCTGAATTTTTAGTTGAAAAGGTCTCTGAATATCCTGGTGAAGTATCTGTACTTGCACTTGGACCACTGACAAACTTGGCATTGGTAAGTCATTGGATTCGTTCTTATCAATTTACTCCGTTGTTACATTTGGCTAAACATGGTTATATGTCCAGGCGATCAAAAGGGACTCTTCCTTTGCTAGCAAGGTGAAAAATATTGTTGTACTTGGTGGCTCATTCTTTGCATTAGGAAATGTGAATCCTGCTGCTGAGGCAAATGTAAGTAAAAAAGCTCCTAATTTTATGTTTCTTACAACAAGGCACATAACATCATTCTTCTTTTCGAAAAATTCCTTTGTGATGGTAATTTTTTAGTGCAAGGTGAAACTATGAGTTTTTAAGTTGAGCTCCTTTTTCGTTGAAAGTATTCCTTATCAAAAAACTTTTTTGATTCATCACTTTTATAGGATTATTACATATTAGTGCCAGTATACGTGCCTAAAATGTTTTATCACGTTTTGAGGGGAATTTCCTTTTTGTGAAAACTTGTTTAATTTCTTTTGCTTGCTTAAAATCATTGTCTCTTCTTTCCCTTTTCACCATCACAATGTTGTCTCATTGTTCATATTACAAGAGTGAGTTGCAATGGCCTGGTCAGCAAAGAAATTAATTTTGACTTGAACAAAGTTTAGTAGTTGACCATCCATTAAGAACCGATTGAGAATTCATTTGTCTGACTGCAGATTTATGGAGACCCTGAAGCGGCTGATGTTGTGTTCACTTCGGGAGCAAATATTGTTGTTGTTGGGATAAACATTACCACCCAAGTCAAAATGACAGGTAGGAGCTTAATTGCCATTTGTCTTAGCTGTCAAGCTTCTTTGCATGTTTATTTGACGTAATCTTCTTGACAAAGTTCATAATCTCTTCTCTTAGACGATGACCTCCTCGAATTGAAGCAATCAAAGGGAAAGTATGCCAAGCTACTGAGTGACATGTGCAAATTCTACAGAGATTGGCATGTACGGTCTGACGGTGTATATGGTAATCTTTTTGGGATTTTAAATTACTCTCAACTAAATTTCATCTTTTCTCTTCAGCTTCTCAATTTTCATTTCAGTCTTATTTTAAGGGAATAACTCCGAAAATTTTGGTACCAGGGATATTCCTCCATGACCCTGTCAGTTTTGTGGCCCTAGTTCGGCCGGATCTCTTCACATACAAGAAGGGGGTTGTGAGGGTTGAGACGCAGGGCATATGCTTGGGGCATACATTGATGGATCAAGGATTAAAAAAGTATTTTAAAACAAGCATGCTTATTAGTGAATTCAAATAGATTTGCGGTTATTGTTGCTAATGTTTATTCCATAATCTGGTGCAGATGGAATGGAAGCAACCCATGGACAGGCTATTCCCCAGTTTCCGTTGCTTGGACAGTGAACGTGGATGAAGTCCTGAAATATGTTAAAAAACTGTTGATGAAACCATAAAAGCTGGAAAAACCACTTGACATTTTGAAAGATGTCCTGGAGATTGGGATGCCTTCGATTTCCGCTAAAGGGCCCCTTGTAATTTTATTCTCTTCTTGCTACGCATTTTTAGGTTTAAAAGGCTCATAATTGTTCTCATGTTGGAGGATTTTTTCTTTATTGGAAAAACCATTCAATTTGATGATCCTCAAGTAATCAGAAACTGTAAATGATGCTTGATCATAAATATTTAATATCACTAAGTCTTGATGCATTGCTACACAATATTTTAGTGCTGATAAGTCCTTTGCCTATCCCTTCTTCTGCAAAAAAAAAAAAAGAAGTCAATCTCAGATATTAGAAAAGCTTAAATTATAAATTTAGGAGTCGAAATCACCAATGGAAGCTCTGTTCCATGCAAATACAGATCATTCCTACGTTACTAAGAATAATCTTGAGGACACCTTATTATAAATTTTGTCTGGACCAAAACAAAAGTAGAAATTTAATGTCCTTTATTCAGCAGAGCAAGTAAATGATCTTGAGTTATCGCTATTCCAGAAAGAACGATTCTGCATCCTGTGAAAAGGTTCCAGGGGTTCTTTATACAAATACATTTTGCCAAATGATTTTCACCTCTAATTCTTATCTACAACTAAACGTGGACCAATGGGTTATCTGCAGCTGCAAGCTTTCCCTAACAGTAGTGATCAATCTACAGTAAGAAAATTAGGAGGCGGCCGTGCCTGTGAAAGCATGTGATCTCACATCTTTTCTCTAGGGCAATTTTTTTTTTCCTCCAGTTACCAGGTTCATTGAAACCAGCATTGTTGTTAACCAAACAAATATAGCACTTAGAAAAAAGAGAGGTTGGGGGTGTGTGGGGGGGGGGGGGGGGGGGGGGAAGTATGTAGATTTGGGGTTGATCATCCATGATTTGGCGGGATGGATTTGACGTTCGGATTAAATTTAAATATGTTCTTCCTCTGCTTAATGCGTTCCCCAGACCTGCAAGTCTTTGAGTTTTGACTACTCTTGCTAGGCAAGTCAACAATTGATTCGGTTAATGCGTTTGCATGCGAACGCGTCAAGCTTTAAAGCCACCAGCACCAGGGATTTCAATTTTTAACACCATGAAACCGACCTCCCCGTCTATTAGATGCAGCTGCTAGACTCTAGCTTTGCCCAACTTAATAACCATTCATGATTCGTGAATCAAAGCTGATCAAGCTTAGAGTCAACTTATGTTCGATCCAATTGAACCCAATGACAAGGGAAGAAACAAGGTCAAAAGCAGTGACAAAAGCCCATTTAATAAAAGCAGTTAAACCGACTTTTTTATTTTTTCTTTTTGCAAACTTCTTTATGCATTTCTTTCCATAAGAGGCAGTCAACTACCACAACGAGAGAACTGTCTCAACTCCCGCCAGATATTGCACCCACTCCAACCACCTAAAGAAAACGAACCCATTTTCTCAATCATATTTAGAATCCCAAAATCCTCCCTGGAAGTGGAAAGAAGAAAAAAAAAAGATGGGGAGAGTTTCTTCAACAAGTGAAATGGCAGAGAAGGTTTCTTGGCACTGTGCTTTGTTCATGGCAGTGATGCTAATATTGAGCTGCTGCTGCGAAGAATCAAGTGGAAAGGATTACAGGGGTAAGGAAGTGCTAGTGCTGCAGCAGAAGAACAAGCCATGCGATGAAATATATGTAGTTCGAGAAGGAGAGACTTTGCAGACCATCAGCGAAAAATGTGGGGATCCTTTTATTGTTGAAGAGAATCCTCACATACATGACCCAGATGATGTTTTCCCTGGCCTTGTCATCAAAATCACTCCTTTTAACAACAGGTAGAGGTTAATTCATTATTAGTAGACCCCTTCTTTGCTTAACTAAGTTATTTTGTATTCTGGCCATTAAAAAAATTCAGTTATTTGTGGTAAGTGTATTTTCTTCGAATTATAAAATTTCAATCAAAATTTTATTGTTTCGACTTTAGAGTTTGTTTCGATTTTATTGTAGAAGAGCACATTGCAATAGCTTAAAAGAGTCATAAATCTAATAAAAATAATAATAATAACGTATCCATCAATAGAATATGAAACCATAACTTTCCTAAAACTAATGGAAATCCTGCTTCCGAAAGTAGTAAAACAATTGCAAATTTCCAATCAAAGTTCAATCAACCAAAGCAATTGTTTTGGGCCCCTTACACGACAAAAAGTGATCATCAGATTTTAGTTTCCATCTTCAACGAGAATGGGCAGGGGCCTGGCAACCTAGCCCAGGAAGAACAATACATTAAAAAAAGTTAGTTAGTAGTTACACACTTCCTTCAAAGACTGCAACAAAGGCCTCAAGGAGCCCAACCAGTTTTGCAACTATTCAGAAAGTTTAAAAATACTCCAATTCGCCGACCGAGGTTGCCCGAAGTGATAAAAGGCGTACATTTTGTGTTAATTCAAGTTTGAATCTTCTTGTAATTAATTTTTTGTTAGTAAATAATTTGTAAATTTAAAATATTTATAAGTGAAAATTTAATAAATTCATAAATTTTAATTAGACCGTGGATTTATTTTACTTTTAAAAATAAAATAACTTCTCTTGTTCTAAGCTTTAAAAAAAAAAAAAAATCCAATTCAATCTCCATTTTATCATATCCTATACTAACCAAAATTCACAATTTAAACCCAATTCAGAAATCTTTCTCTTATTGGAAATCAGGAATCGGAACGTAAGTCGTACCTTTTTCTGGCTGCAAATTAGGAATGCAAGCGTTTATGCCTAAGGCCTGCTATTTTTCATCCATGAAACGTTGCAGCTTGCGCATCAACTCGAGAAATCAAAATGAAAACAAGAAGCTAAGAAAAGAAAAACAAAAAATAAAATAACCCCAGAAGACCTTAGATTTTAGAATAGTCACCTTGACCTATTCTATGCTACAAGACAAAATTTAAATTATGAAAGGGCTGCTTTCGCATTTAGTTAGAGTTTCCATTAAAGTCTTTTTATATTTTAAAAGACCTTGACTTCAAGACGTATTATATATATATAGATCTAATGACAATTATATGTATATTGGAACAAGTTGATTTATTTTTTTTTCTATTTTGGATTGCAGTTTGGTACAGCGAAATTCATATTATTCTATATTTCATTGACTTTTGGAAAAGTAGAAAAAAAAGTATTTATATTATTGGTCAGGAACATGTGTTTGGATTATTATAAATTTAAATCTGACCCTTTAAACTCTTTTTGGTAATCGTTGCAGGCAGATTTCATTATTTTCTCTTGTTTTGATTTGGTGCTTAGGATTCTACATTTGCATAGAGCAGGCATTTTTGATTGATTAAAACTTCATTTATTATATTCCAACAAAAAAAAAAAACTAATTTACTTTATTATTTTTCAATATTCTTATCTGAAGAAAAATGGGACCTAAATGAAGGAAGAGGAAAAAAAAATTAATATTATAAATGATTTTTAAATGAAATATTTAATACAATATTTAAATTTACTTGGTTATGATCATTATTATTATTATTATTATTAGTAATAAAAAATTTTACATTATTATTATTATTAGTAATAAAAAATATTTTAACTCATGATCACTTTCTTGAAACCGACCGCTTAAATGGAAGCCTTACGTCCCAGCATATAAGGTGTTGTTATCCGCAAAATATTCTTTCAAGCTTAAGCCATTTTGCAATTTCCACTATCCCCTTCCCTCTCTCTTTGCAAAGTTTTTATTTGTCTATCAGTTTCGCCTGCTCCTTGATTTCCTTTAATGGACACTCAAAACTTACTCTTCTTGTTATGTTTCTTTGTCATTTCTCTTTTCTCAGGTATCAGAAAAACAAACGCCATTTCTTTCTGCTTCTTTCTATGGCTATTGGCCTTTCCAGAAGAGTTTTTAATTTTTTTTTTCTTGATGTGTAAATGATGAATTGTAGGTCAGCAACAAGTTGTTGAAGGTTCAAGGGTGTCTCCCTTTCCTTTCAGACCCAAGAAGCTGTTTGTGTTTGGAGATTCCTATGCTGATACAGGGAACAACAGGAAAGATTCGGCAAGTTCCTGGAAATATCCTTATGGAATTACATTTCCTGGGAAACCTGCTGGCCGTTTCTCTGATGGTCGTGTCTCCACTGATTACATTGGTAATTCCTCTCTCTCTCTCTCTCTCTCTCTCTCTCTCTTTCTCTTTCTGATGAATAATGATAGTGTCTTTCTTTCCCAGCTTTAGCTTTTAGCCTTTCTTTTTGGTACACGTAATGGGTTTGCTTTATATGTTGTAATAGTGTCTCTTAATAATATATTGGATTGAGTGGTGCTTTCCTTTTCACTCCAGGCTTTCGCTTTTTCTCACGTCTTTTGATAATAACTTGTTCTGAGCTGACGCTAAAATGAACTGCTCTCCCTCCTTTTCTTGCCTGTTTGTTTTGCATTATAGGGGAGCATCTTTATTTATTTTTTTTCTTATTTCCTCTTTCTATTCTTTGTGTCAGATCCTTATCTTTTTCCTCTTGTTCTATCTTTTTCACATGATTTGAAGTTTTGTACACTTTCGTTTCTTCATCATTATTCATTATTTAACATTAATCATTCTTTTCGGTGATTCTATGCTTTATTAAGCCTTCTTCGAAATCCATTTCTTCACTCTCTTATTCCACTTTGATTAATCTCACCACTTGAGAAAAAGGAGGATAACTGTAATGATTTCAACCTTTAACCTTTGTTTCAAATAAAAAAGCTATCTTTTTCTATATAGCTTTTAGTTTCTAATCCCATCAACGTTAGTATTAGTATACTAACTAATATCTCTATCAGCATTTGCACTTTATTGACACCAACATGAACAACTAACCACCACTTTGGAATTTACTAATAATAAACATTTTCAATCATTTAATTATACATTTTTTTTTAATCAAAAAGTTGATTTCCTTGTTTTGGTCAAGCAGCCGGGTTCTTGGGAATCAAGACGCCAATACCATACAGATGGAGGAAACAACTAGCTGGTCGCCTGAAGTATGGGGTGAACTTTGCTTATGGAGGGACAGGGGTTTTTGACACGTTGGCTCAGGAGCCAAACATGACCACCCAGATCGATTTCTTGCAACAGCTTCTCAATGAGTCGGTCTACACAAAAAGGGGCTTGAAAACTTCTGTGGCATTTGTCAGCGTTGCAGGGAATGACTACTCAACTTACACTGCCACCAACGGCTCTGCTGAGGTAATAAAAAAACGTGATCCGCTTATTTCTAATCACTTTATATATAAATATCCACTGTTGATTTAATTAAAAAATTAAAAAAAGAAAACAAGTCAGTGTTTTATTTATGAATGGCGACAGGTACATTCAATATGGTTCACTAGTTACTCCTTGAAATTTTTTATGGTCCCATTAGATCTTCTCCCTTGTAACGAATCTTACTATGACGATGAGATATACTTGAACATGTTGAACACACTTGAATTGACAGCTCATCTGCCACATAATGGCCAATCAAGGAACCACTAGTTGGCTGCCGTGTAGAGATTTTAGAAAGTAGCCCATAGTGTCTCATTGTACTTCAATTTCAATTTACACTAGCTAGGAGCATTTTGGGGTTGTTCATAATTTTATCTTTACCGATCCAACTGAGAAACACCCAAAGATTAGTAGGAGTCTCAAGAGAATCTGACACTTCATTTTCTCTTAAAGGTATCCAAGTTCATTGTCTTGTTCTTATGTTTGTATAAATATGCATGCAAAGAAAAATGAAAGAATGTTTGAGATCCGGTAATTGAAGAGTTTACCATCTCTGCCGCTCTTTTATATCAGAGTCCAGGCCATTATGTCATAAGCTTTAATGTGTCACATTAAATAGCAAATTGTCCTTATTATTTGTTTATGGCAATGAATACAGTCTTAGAAACTAAACTGATCAGAAAATGTGAATCTAGCTAGGCTTCCAAATCCGTCCCTTTGGCAAAATTATTTTTAATAATTATTGTAAAAGGGGGTTTGAAATTAATGAGAAAATTTTCTGAAAGATGATATTGTTCGCTGCTTGATGAGTGCTTATCCTGACAGGGTTTTCCAGCCTTTATTTCAAGCGTTGTGAGCCAAATTACTGTGAACTTGAAACGCATCCATGACTTGGGAGTGGGAAAAATAGCGGTGAGTGCCCTGCAACCATTGGGGTGCCTCCCTCGAAGCACCGCCCGATTCTCCTATCAACACTGCAACGAAACTGAAAACACCCTTGTTAATCTCCATAACCAGTTGCTGGCTCAAGCTGTGAACAATTTGAACAAACAAGCCAACAGCACCTCTTTCTTTGTTCTTGATATTTATAATGCCTTTTGGACCATTTTCAATGAGAAAGAAGCTCATCAAGGTCATTATATATTTATTACATAAACTCTGCACTCTTATTCTTTTTTACTCGCTTAATTTACTAACTTTTTCAAAACTTTTTCAAAATGTAATTCTTTTGCAGAAAGTCCAAAGTTTGAGAATCCATTTCAACCATGTTGTGTTGGAGTGAGTGCTGGATTTTCATGTGCAAGTGTAGATGAAAATGGAGCAAAAAAGTACACACTCTGCTCAAATCCTAAATCAAAATTCTTTTGGGATACGGTTCACCCGACAGAGGAAGGATGGCAAGCTGTATATTCAACTCCAGCTTTCCAAAACAGCCTCAAGCAACTTTGGTAGAAATCACCATCAAAAGTGACCTTGTCACTTTCTAATGTTGACTTCTTGTTCTTGGTATCTGTCAAATCCTTCGTAGTATCTTTTATTCGTTTGTTTAGTACTTTTCCTGATGTTATCTTGGCTTGAATAATAATAATGGTGAGGATGATGATGATGATACTTCTGTCTAATGTACTTGAATGGATGTCATTGGTTGTTGATTTTTTGTTTGATTAGCTGCAACCTTCCTATATGGATGAAAGTAAATAAATAGAAGTCTAACCCATTTGAAAGAACAACTCTAAAACCATGTCCAAGTTTCTATTGGAAGAACAGATGGGCTGGACCGGCCTATTGTTGCCCTTAAGCAATTATAAAAATTTTAAGAAAGTTTAAGCTAATTGAGTATGTTTTAGATGAGCCGAAGTTTTCATGTCAATGGACCATGGCCCATGAGCCAATATAAAGCCACAAACCAAAATGAATTCACCTATTAGAGGGGTTGAGGTGATGGATCTATGTTTAAAGGCCCAATAAAAGGTAACTTCGAAAACATCCCTTCAGCTGTCTACGTATAGTTTTATTTCATGATTGGAAAAAGCTGATTCTAGGGATTTTTCTTTTTACTTTGAGAATAATAGAAATTCAAACTAAAAAATGCATATATTACCCATTGCATAACGTATTTTAAAGATCTTTAGCATTTAGAATTGTTCAATAAAAAATAGGAACAATTGAATTTGCCTATTTCAGTTCATTACCTTAATAATATCAAAATCAATTAATTTATGACTTTAAAATTAGTTATGATGTTATTTATAATAATATTTTTATATTAAATACAACGATTATGAGATAATTTCAATTTATTGGAAGAAGATATTTACTAAATATGATAATTTTGATGAATGTATTTATTTAGAGTAAATTAATTCTTTCTTTATAATAGAATTTGCGACTTAATTAATAATAATTCGGCAATCTTCTTAATTATATTTATAATTGCATTTCTTAATTAATACCTTTTATTGCATGCTAAAGCCAGACATGATTGCATCAAAATTAGCTGTTTATAGCCAAAAAAATGTAGTCACTGACTAATACAGATCCCAAATAAAAGCCATGAAAATCTCACTTTCAAACAGACCATGCAATTCCTAGTTCTCAAATTTTGACTCTCATCACTCACTTCCATACTTGGCGATCGGAGCTAATCTGTTGCGGGAAATGCCACACCCACCTATTTATAGCCAAAAAAATGCCACTCTTTTCACTAAATTGTATACTTAAAATTCTTTGTATGCTTTGATATATGGAGAAAATGCAAAACATTGCAGCAACAATGATACACTGTGTTGTGTCTTTTGCCTGTTGTTTTTTATGTCTTGCAGCTGCCTTTGTCCAGGGATCAATTGTAAATGAAAGAAAGGTATATTATCTCTTGCTGATTATCTTACAGGAACTAAACCAGTTTCAATGACCAAAAGCAACCAATATTCACCATTTTTCTTCATAATTATTTGGTTTATTTTGCTATGAAACGTATGTCTTGATGTTAATTTGATACATTGTACCTTTTAACAACAGCCATATATTGTATACATGGGAGAACTGCCACATCATGGAGCCAGGATTTCTGCCATGGATGAACATAATAATCTGCTCCTGAAGGCAGTTGGAGAGTAATATTCATTGCTTTTAAATTATCTCATTAATGAGACTGTTTCTAGATGATATTTAATCACCAATAATTTTCTTATTGTAGTAAGAATATAGCCAGAGAATCCAAAATATATAGCTATGGAAAGAGCATCAATGCGTTTGCTGCAAGGCTTTTGCCAGATGAAGCAAAGAGACTATCAGGTTTATAAGAAATTTCAAAGAAGAATATTTTTCATTATTCCTCTTTAACCGTTGCTGTTTACATATTGCTTAATTTACAGATGAAGATGGAGTTGTATCAGTATTTGAAAACACAAGGCGCAAACTTCTTACAACAAGATCATGGGATTTTCTGGGAATGCCTACAAGTTTAAAGAAAAGGAACGCCGTTGTAGAAACCAATATCATAGTTGGTGTATTGGACACTGGTAAATGGAGCAATGTTTTGTCATTCTACAATTGGAAAGTTGTTTCTCAAATTAATTAATGTTGGTTGTAGGTATTTGGCCGGAATCCCCCAGTTTTAATGATACAGGTTATGGGCCTCCACCTGCTAAATGGAAGGGTAAATGTGACAAAGGAGCCAACTTCACTGGTTGCAACAAGTACTTTCTCTAACTTAACTGTCTTCTCGTAACCTCACCAGAGATCTGTCGATCTCATAAACTCTTGGATCATATTTATTGAAAGATTTAGGAAAATTATTAGGTAAGGAAAAGTCTCATTTTCTTTAGGAATTCCAACTTTATTCAAATTGGTCTCTTGGAATTGTAATCTGTTTATTTAATTAACAAATTATAAATTATTGTTACACATTTATTGTTTGTTAAACTTACTAAATGAACATAAATGAATGCAAATTGAGTTTGTTTGTCGAATATTATGTTAGTTTATAACATCGAGTATAAACGAACTAAATATAAATGAATATTGTTATATTCATAATTTATTTGTTTAATTAACGAATTTTGATACGTCATGTGTTATCATTTGTTAAACTTAATAAAAGAATATAAATCAAATCTATTCACCAACTATTCATAAGATGTTTTGTTCGATTGCATCACAATGAGCTATATATCTTGAAAATCTTTCTGGTCAGACATTGATCTTGAATCTTTTCTAACATGGGCAGCAAAGTCATTGGTGCAAGATACTATCAACTAGACAGCTCTCTTCCTATAATGGATGATCCAACGCCGGTTGACACTGACGGCCATGGTACCCACACTGCCTCCATTGCTGCTGGCATACCTGTAAAAGGCTCCAGCCTGTATGGCATAGCAAAAGGAACTGCTCGTGGCGGCGTACCATCTGCACGTATAGCAATGTACAAAGTGTGCTGGAGTGGCGGATGCAGTGACATGGATTTACTGGCTGCATTTGATGATGCCATCCGCGATGGAGTGGACTTGATATCCCTTTCAATAGGCGGTGCTTCCAGGGAGTTTTTCCATGATCCGATTGCTATAGGAGCTTTCCATGCGATGAGAAAAGGAATTTTGACATCTTGTGCTGGTGGAAACGACGGGCCTATGATCGCAACAATTCAAAATGTTGCACCATGGATCTTAACCGTGGCTGCTAGCAGCATTGATAGGCAATTTACCTCAACTATTAAGCTTGGCGATGGCACGATAACTTCTGTAGGTTTTCAATTCTTTGTTTTGTGAATTTCTACGTACATGCTTGACATTACATAATAATCATACTAAATCTAATCTCCTACACCCATCAATATAGGGCAATGGAATCAACACATTTTCGATGAAAAACAAGATGTACCCTTTCACAGACGGAGCCCATGCAACCAATCTTACTGGCAACATCTACGGCAATAGCAGGTATTTACACCAGGAAATTTTGGCATTATTGTTTTTTTTTTAATTGCATTACGCCTCTAATTCAATTATGTTTAAATGTGATTAAAGTGCTTGTGACTACGGAACCCTGAGCGAAGACATAGTGAAGGGAAAGATTGTTTATTGCCTAGGGGACGCCGGTCAGGACTATACAATCAACACGCTGGGCGGGGCAGGAACCATAATGGCTGTTGATGCAGCAACAGATTATTACTTCCTCACTCTTACACCCGCAACCACGGTGGTTCGCAGCAAGAATGGTGGCAAGCTTGATCGGTATATCAACTGTACCAAGTATGTCTGCTTTTAGATTCTTTCTTCTTTCACTTCAGAATCTTTGATTTCCAAATAAAATTATCATAAATTTAACAATGAGAAAGCTTATAGATGATGTTGATACGATAATGCCAGGAACCCTCAAGCTGTCATATACAAGTCTAGAACTGTTCGTATGACTGCTCCCTTTGTGGCTTCTTTCTCTTCTAGAGGACCTCAATTAACAAACCGCAACATTCTCAAGGTAAAATCTTCTCGCCAGCCTCTTCCTTTGCCTTTTCTCTTTCTTTCGTTTCTAACTTGAGACATTCCATGGCCAGCCCGATGTTACTGCTCCAGGACTAAACATACTGGCTGCTTACACAAAACTGAAGTCAATAACAGGAGAACCAACTGACCGACGCTATTCTGCGTTTAACTTTATGTCTGGCACATCTATGGCTTGCCCTCATGCTTCAGCTGCTGCAGCCTATGTCAAGTCTTTCCACCCAGACTGGTCGCCAGCCGCAATCAAGTCTGCTCTCATGACTACCGGTAAAACTTCCTACCCAGCACATCAAGCAAATTAATAGATGCTCAATACTCAAATCTGTCAAATGACAGACAGTATATCCTTTTCTAATTCAATTACCATATTATTTCTTGCTTCAGCAACACCCATGAAAATCAGAGACAAGTATGGGGAGCTAAGCTCCGGATCAGGCCAGATAAATCCAATTAGAGCTATAAACCCTGGGCTCATCTATGACATTAACCAGAGTTCTTATATTAGCTTCCTTTGTAAAGAAGGGTACAATAGCACGACCATTGGCCTACTCATCGGTGGCAAGCGAAAATATAACTGCTCAAGCTTTAAACCTGCACGGGGCTTTGACGGGCTCAACTATCCTTCCATGCACATTCATCTCAATAGTAATGAATCTAGAATTTCAGCAGTGTTCTACAGAACAGTGACAAATGTTGGAGACGGAAATTCCGAGTTCAAGGCAAAAGTGACATCTCCAAAGGAACTTTCGATCACAGTTATCCCGAAAACGTTGAAATTCAAAACGAAGTATCAAAAGCAATCTTTCAAAGTTTTGGTGAAGGGCAGCTCAACGAAGAATGGGACAGTGATCCTATCAGCTACCCTTGAGTGGAGTAACGAAGGGCACAGTGTTAAGAGTCCTATTATTGTCCTTAAACAGCAGTCATTCTTTTGATTTTGGCATTTGCTTAATGCTTATAGTTAGAATTGAATAGTTTTCAGTCAGATTCTTTTCTCCTTTTGGTATATCAAAACTATTTTTACCTCAATCAATTGCCATTTTAAAAAGATTCAGATTTATCTATGCATCATTGTGCAAAATGAAGAGAAGGAAAAAAATGTAGGATAGAAAATCAACAAGAAATTTTCTAACTTCTCGATCACAGACTCGTACATGTCTTTTTCTGGAAGAGGATGACAAACTTGCAGCATATTTTACAAAATATCAACATTTTCAACTAATGCAAACTCTTTAGCAGCCCTGTTCAGGTTAAGCGTATGGAATAGGAAAAAAGGTACACATCTCCCATCTAAATCTGCCGCTTAACCCCAAAAAAAAAAAAAAAGGGGAGATTATTCAGTCTGTTAAGCTAAATAAAGACAATAAGCAGGACAATGAATCTCTGTTCTTATATCTTGCACCCAAAAAGGAAAAAAAGAAAAGCATGGAGAAAAATGCATCTAGCCTTGAAAATTGGCTTAGAGATGTGCATGCAACCACGCTTTTGGCTTTCTCCCTTTGAAGGCCTTCTCTCTGCTTTTGAATTTTTATTTCTGCAGGGGTAAAATCTTCTAGGGCTCATTTTAGTAACAACAAAAGTCCAAATTTTTGCTGATAAGCTCAACGATGTAGCCAACATTGTCGGCCATGCAGGTTCTTTAGTTTTGTAAGTTCTTTCCTCCTCTTTCTTGCCTCAGCAGCAGCCACTGCGTCCAGTACTTTCTTACTTGTATAATTTGTTGATTCTTGATTCTCCTCCGGCAAAGCACCTACACAGTGACATGCTCTTATAGGAGCCGATTCAGTATTGACACCATGATCTGGTGTATTCTCCCGTTCAACAACAAATGTAGTCCCTGCAGAACACACAGGTGCAGGCACAAGGACCTCTTCTTTAATATTGAATCCCATACACTGACCGCCACCATCTGGAGGAAGCCTGACTGGAGTACAATTCAGTTTACTAGGACTGGCTTCAATTGAGCCATAAGCCTCTTTTTCAACTTCTATTGATAAAGAGGAATTATACTTCTCCTCGTGCACAACTGATTTCAAAGAACACCCAGCACTAAATTGATTATTAACAGAACTTTCATCTTTGACATCTTTTGGGCAACAAGAAGGCTGAGGATGCAGTCCATTCCGATGATCAGGAAGAGAAAAGAACCAAGGGTAAGGCACTACATATAAAGGAGTTCTGGGGCCATTAATGTTTATGGGATTTTCTTGATCATGAGATGAATCAAGCCTACCATTATTTGGTGTGGAAATGCCTGGTGGAGCAAAAATGCCTTGGTGCCCACACTGTGATTGAAAGGGATGTGAAGACCGAACAACGGAAGGCCAACAGAAAGGGGGGAAAGGATGTTGGTTATAAAAGAAAAATGGATAGTTTCTACATGGACCAGAAATCTGACGGGCTAACTTAACTTCTCCAGGACTTTTCCCTTCCTCAGGTTTTATTGCCTTAGCCATCTGCAGAAAAATATAGCATGTCAAAGATGTATAGTATTTTCAGGATAAAAAGGTTGTCAAATAGGTAAAACACTTTCAAGGTTAAAAGGTTCATTAATGCTAATTTATGTTACCTCTGTCTTCAGGTGCTTATTGGTGCTCTCTTGAAACTGACACTCTTTCAGGGCCAATTCTTTTGCCTTCTCAGTACAAAGGTAATCAAAAAGTGAATAAGCTACCATGCAATATTAACATAAATTCAATAACCACCAAGTAGTTCAAAAGGGTATACACCTAAAAACTACTTTGATATTTGTTAAAAACTATGAGCAGAACAGATGTACTCTTTAATTTCGAAAAGTCAGGTAAAAAAAACAAATAGATACTCAGGATAATTACATGGAAGAAGTCCACTTACCCTCTTCAAATTTTCATTCTCCCGTGTTAAATCGGCAACTTTTAGGGTCAATTTTTCACAGAGAGCCTGAGTGAAAGTACAGCATAAGTGACCAACACTAGTTAGCCATAAATAAACTTCGAGCACAATAAAACTGAAAGCAGATTACCAATGAAAAAGTTTGCTGAAATTTAGATATTAAAATGCTGTGACTTGTTACAAATAATACATACTATGTTGCAACTAGCACATGTTGACCCAAGTGATTAAGACAAACCACTATTACCATTCTCGAAAACATCAACATGTTGCTGTCACACATCACTACCAGGTAGAATTTTTACAAAACCCAGTGTGGACTCCTGTACACATATTTCGTACGAGGTAGATAGTTGGGTCAGATTTTTTTAATCTTAAAATCTTAGGATAATTAGAAGAGTAATTTGAAGGCAATTGACATTTGTACAATTAATCACTAGTCCAAACTGACATAAGGCAGATAAGAAAACGTTCACAATCTAATCTCCTGTCCAACAAAAAGGTAATTAATGCATTTCAAAGCATCCATCATAAAATAATTGAAGCATCTGAAATAGAACCAGGAACTGTTTTCTATCAATTGTTACCACTACAAACAGAGAATAGCATTGCAATAATCTGGCATCCACTATATGTAGGCTGTCCTGGAAATTGCAAACAGATGCCATATCATATAGGTTTAAAGTCAACCTTTAGCACTTTTCCTTGTTCTAGTACACAATCCCAACCAGATCCAAGTGACACTGATCTGTAGCACCCAGCCCCCAAAGAGTTTATCATTGAATTTGGAAGCACGGAAAAGGTTGCCAGCAATATTCTTATGAGTTCAATGAAAGGAAAAAGATAATGACTTATCAGAAGAAAAAAGCAATATTAATACGAGTTAAATGGCGAGCAAAAGTCAATGACTTAACAGAAGAACAAACTATTCCCTTGATTCTTATAACAAAAAACAATCTATTTATGTACAATAAAGAGATGATATGGAGTTACCTAGCAGTATAATTGTGGCCAAAAGCCGAGGTTTTCAATTAGATGAAGAAACAAGGGAAATTAGAAATGGATAAGGCTTTCCTCAAAACATCTTCCAGAGACATTCTCGCTAGAAAAATATTTACAGTCAAAGCTAGAAAAAGAAGCAACTTAATAAATGCAGACTGACAAACCATGTAAAATAAAATCCCAAAGCAAAATTAACAACTGCAATGCAATAACTCAATTACCTGCCTTCGCCGAATTGTCTGCCTAGCTGATTCCCTGTTTGCTAATATTCTATGTAATCTCCGTGTTTCCTTCTCAGCCTGATAGAAAAAGCTTCAGTTGAAAACTAAGGACTAATCATAAAGCAAGAAAGTCAAATAAAAAATAGTTCTACCTCGGTTAAATTCTGACTTGACCTCCCCCTGCCACATGATATGTACTTTATGGAACATGTAGGACTTGATTTGACCGACAGAGCATTCTGCTCTGCCTTCACTGATTTTATAAGTACATTGTTGCCTGTTATTTGATCCTGCTGCCTATCCTTCCAAATATCTTTCTCACGCATTCCCACCATGCTGAATAATATCTGAAGTGAGCAGCCAGCATAAGTAAATTAATAAAATCTGAAAGTAAACATATAAATCAATATGTAATATATCAAACAAACACAACCGACCTGCCTTTCATGAATCATCTGCCAATCTGACTCCTTATTTGTTAACATTCCATGCAATCTACATGTTTCTTTTTCAGCCTGATCAAAAGAACATTCAGTCAAAAATAGGGGATTTACAAAGCACAACACTAAATCAAAGAAGCTATCTGCCTCTGTTACATTCTCTCTCGACCTCACCACCCCATTGGATGTATATCTTGCAGTGCAAGGATGACTCGTGTTAAGCAACTCAGCATTCTGCTCAGCTTCTACAGATTCAATAACTACAGTTGTGCTTGTCACTTGAACTTTCTGCTGGCCTACTGTAGCTCGATCCTGCTATAAACAAAAATAATTTTCAAGTCCTGTCCAAAATAGTGTGACTTGGTGACAGATCACTAAACAAAGTCCAATTAAGACAGAACACAACTACTTTACCTAACCACTTCACTAAACATGTCCAATTGAGACCCAACTGGTTTAGCTAACCACATTTTTATTATTTATGTTTTAAAATTTCCTAAAATCAGAATACTTTCTATAGTCATCAGTTTCTCCCCAGTTTAGCTATTCTCATCTTTACTATGTTTTTAATTCCTTGAAATACCAGAAATAGAAAAATCAAATCAAATCTGAAAAAAGAAAAAAAAAGCATTCTTCAACATTAATAAATTTGTTACTATTATGTTCAAATTCTTGCATGACATCCCACATACTAGCATCGATATGATTAAAATTTTAAGAAAATCAAGAAGTTATTTGAGTGGTTATATTTCATTAACTGAAATACTAGTGAAACAATTTCCTTTTTAACTATAATTTAAATTAAGAAATTTCCAGCATTCGCAAAACAGAATCAATTTTATCAAATTAAATACAAGTATTATGAAAAAACAAAGTTTCGAAATATTAAATTTATTCTTTTGGCACCAAAAAAAAATTTTTTTTGGCATATACTATTTCTACATTTTCAATGATGTGAATTACTTTCAAAAAGTAATTTGAATTACTAGTTTCAGGCCGACACATTGAAAAGCCACTGAATCAAAAAAAATATCAGAATTGTTTTTTCTTCAAATGGAAAAACTAAATATATAAATAATCGAAAATATCGATAAAATTAGAGTGATTCACCAGTTCAAACCAACCTCAGCGAGATCGGAACCCGATTGAACCGAGCCAACAGGGTTCAAACTGGTGTCAGAATGCGGTGACTCGCTTCTACTGACTCGCTTCCTCACTCGCTTCCCTTTGCATCCCCATTTGGCGGAAAATTCGGCGGCGACAGCAACAGCATCCCGCTTCTTCGAATGAGCCAACGCTGCCAATATCTCCGCCGCCTCCATCTCCATCCGGTCCGTCGCCACCGCCTCTGCATCCTCCGCCGCATCTTCCGAAGTCGAAGCTGACGAACTCGAAACAAAACCTCTCTCCAAATCCATCCCAAAGAAAAGAGAACAGAAAATTTCAAAATTAAAAGAAAAAAAAATCGAAAGAGAGGAACAGAACACTGTTAAATTCGTTGAAAGAAAAGGAAAAAGGTTTTTTACCAGTCTCTGCGGCGCCTAGAGGATGTATCTGAGAGTGCCACGTAGACGACCCGATGACTCGTGTCTGGGGTCCGGCACTTGCAAGGGAAAGGGGACATGAAGCAGAGATTGCATCTGAGACGTGGATAGAGTGAAGAAAGAGCACGTGGGATTTTTTCATTTGTAACTCTTTTAAGATCACAACAGGAAGTCGACGTGTTTTACGTTGAGAGACTGCGTGGAAATTTTATGACCAGCAGATTGACTTTGGGGATTTCTCTTTTTCTTTTACCGGTGAAAAGTGGATTGTTGTACGTAGTAAAACTGTGAACAAGTGATCGAGTGGCAACAGCTGTATCCTCCTAGCTGGCAACATACTGGATTGAATCAGATTATTTTGACTATTCTTTTAAAATGATTGAAATTGAATGTCCGAAAAATTTTATGATTGAATTCAAATTTTAGTGAAGTTAATTTATGTAATTTTTTTAAAAAGCCATGTATAATAAGTTTTAAGTTTAAATTTTAATCTTTATAATTTTTTATTTTGAGATTATCATTTTATTTATTACATTTTAAGGCCGAAAATCCAAATTTGGTTTTGCTTTCTGCTCCAAATTTAATTCAGCCAACATAAGCCCAATACGCCATTAGTCGAGATCATAAAATGCAAATTCAACGGGCAAGAAACACTTGACCCTTTACTCGATAAAACCGAAATCAGAACGTCTTTCGTCTTTTGATTTGGTGATTATAGAAGCTTTTAAAAAAACATGTTTTAGGATACTCATTAAAAAATCCAATAAATTAACTTCTTGTTAATTGATTAATCCACGTTTTTTGTTTAATTAAACTCAATACTTGTTTTTTACATAATCAACAAATCAAGAACATACTTTCTTTATTAATCCAATTCTGAAAAAAGAAAATAATACTTATTAATCCTTACAGGATTGTGACAAATTGAAGAGATTAGGATCAAGAAAAATGAAAATGACAAATTTAATGGTGGGGTTGCATTTGCGCCAGCATTAACAAATCCTGATGATGGATTTGTACAACAATTATTAAGACAAAAAAAAATCTAAAGCGATATAAAGTTATTTTCATTGTTTAAAGAGTTGACTTCGATCAAGGAGAAAATTTTTTGAGGAAAAAAATAGTTTTGATATTAGAGATGGATGATTTAAAAAAAAATTATAACAACTGATTGACTAATTACGTGCACCTTTCGTTTAAAATAAATGTAGTAATTTAACACAGACTTATTTCCATTATAAACAGAATAGTAAAAGAAAAATTTGCAATTTGGTAAGAAAAATTGATTGTTTTTTTTTTTTGAAGTCTAAGCTTAAAGTACATAGCCTTTTTCATAGCACAAAGGTGGGTGATGTGCCAATTTGCCGATAGCTAAAAATGGACTAAAAAAAAATCAATGATTCACACGAGAGAGAGAGAGGGATGGTGGGCGCAACTGCACACCCCAAATCCTTTTAAAGAAACTAAACTGTTTGTCTTTGACTTGCATAGAAAAAAGAAAAAAGAAAACAAAAAAACAAAAAAGATTAATCCACTCCATCGTTCTAGGCCCGGAAGAAGGATTTCTTTTTTTTTTTTTTTCTTTACATAAACCAACTTCCTTTCCTTCTATTCAGAAATTACAAGTAGGGTTTGACGTTAAATCTTCTAAATTTATATGAGTCCAATGGCTTTAGCCGCACTTCAAACACAGCTCAAGAATTTTGTTCAATCTATGTTTGATAAGGTACCTTGTTAATTCCATTTCATTTTTCATGTCCTAAAGCATCCTTTTAATATATTTTTCACGTAAGGTTTAAGATTTCCTTTGTAAATAAAAAAAAAAAAAAAGAAACAGTAACAAAAGATTTCATTTCTAGCAAAGAGTTATAGGATCTTTATATTTTCTCTTTCAGTTATCTTGCTTGAGATGAAGCTTTAATTACTGATACTTGATTCTTTAAGATCATTTGGAATCTGAAATTTCTGTGGTAAAATATCTTGTATGTTATTCCATTTGGAATGAGGATTTTGCCAATTTTCTCAAGAATAATTTCAAAATCGACATGGGTTATTATTGGAAATATCAAATATGGATGATTTCCTTGCTGTTGAGATGTTTTATGACTTGGAACTTTTCATTTTGATGATTTTGGTATTAAGTTTATATAACTGTGTTGTTTGCTAGGGAGTGCTGGACAGCCAGTTCGGTCAAATTCAAGCTTTGCAAGATTCGAGTAATCCCAACTTTGTTGATGAAGTGATCACTTTGTTTTGCAGTGATGCAGAAAGGATCATAACCGAATTGAACAGATATTTGTAATCTCAAACCTGAGATGCTACTGTCTGCTGTTACCATTAACCTTATCTAGAATACTTTCTGAGTTTATCCTGTATGCTAATTAATGTTATATCTGCAGGGGTTATCAAAATGTTGATCTTAGCAAGTTGGATTCTTATGTTCATCAACTTAAAGGAAGTAGCTCAAGGTAATATACCTGTATCATTTTGCTTCTTAGAGATGATGTCTTTGTTCCTTTAGTAACTTTTCTGTAATTTACATTCATAAATTGCTGATGGAAAAATTGTTTCTTGCTCCATTTCAGTGGTGTCTAGATAAGAAATCATCATTTCCTTTCAAACTTTAACAAACCACGCTGTCAGTTTAATATATCCCGTGATCAAATCCTGTGATATCTATACGTTAATATATATGCTTATTAAGTACTCTCATCAGTAAACATTACCAAGTGTTTTGAAAGTTTTTGCTATAGTTTAAATTATGACATGTTCTGCTATTAAGCTATATTTTGGAGCAAGTGTAACTCATGGATGAGAAAAAAAAAGGGAAAACAAGCGGAAGCACATGCTCATGGTAGCTTTGTTGCTTTGTCTTTGTCATCCATGATTGAATCCCTTCGTTTCAAAAGAAACCAACAGTTTATCTGGTGTTCTGTTTTCTGCTATTTTTTCAAAGCCTATGTTAGTTTCTTAGTCATTTTAGGATAATAATCATTTTAGGAACTTTAGTTTCTTTAACTTGTCTGTATTTGGTTTCCCAGCATCGGTGCACATCGCTTGAAACTTGCTTGTGTTAACCTCCGTCAAGCTTCTGATGACCGGAACAAGGAAGGGTGAGAATGTGAATCTGCTTTTCGTATTCCTTCTTCAATATTATATAATATGTTAATGCTTTTATGCAATTGTTGCATGGTAGAAACTACTTGCACTCAAGCAAAAACTTAAAGACCATCATATTCTTTTTCCTTTCCCCATTAAAGAAAAACTACTTAATAAACCTTCACCCTAATCAACTAGAGAAATATCAGCAGTCCTCTTACCTATTCATCCATTATATCAAAAGAAGTAATTCCAGAGGTCAATATCGGGCATTTAACCTGCTTATCAGAAGTATGAGGTCTGTTATTCCACTTGTATAATACTTTTTTTCTGTTAGTAATTTTCTTTATGGTTTTCACCCCAAGTGGGCAAAAGCTTTTAAAAGTGATCTCTTCTTAAGTTAAATATGACTATATATATACTGTCCATGCTCCTCCTTATAAGCCAACTGCTCTGTTCTTTTCTAGTTGTGTGATTACCTCTGCATCTTGCTGTTTCCAACCTCATAAACACAATCATTTTCCTTGCAATCGTTGAGTTTTTCTTTAATTGGCATTTCATAAACATAATAGCTCCCAGCTTCTATGAGCTGCTATGGCCTTTAAGTTGTTTTTATCCATTCTCTTTTTTATCCTGTTATCAGATCATATCCTTACTCCTCAGAGATCTGAGAAAACTTGGACTGACTTTATTTTTATTAGCCCCGATATGACTTTTTTTTTATCTATGCAGCTGTGCGAGAGCTTTAAATTTAATCACTAGCGAATACTGTCTTTTGCGCAGCAAATTTCAAACCCTGATTCAGGTAATGCATGGTCTTATAGTGTCTGGTATTAGAAAATTTGGCTTGAGATTCTGATCTGAGAAAAATATAGGATCCATAGTTAAAATTTTGTAAATTATGCATTGATCCAGCATAGATTAGTTTTACTTACAAAAGAAGAAAATTTCAAACTGATCTAGGTGATCTAGGTTTTTCTCATATATCTTTCGCTAAACAAATTATTATCAAGAAATTGAGTGGCTGCATATTACTTTTAACTTCAAACTGCTACCAGCTATATATGATAGCAAAAATGAATCTGAACGATATGCTGCAGCCTGATTTTAACTTTTGTTTTGGAAATTAAATGATTTCTTCTTGTGGTATATTTGCTTGTTCCAACAACTCCCCATTTCTGATGGTGCAGCTAGAGAGGAGTATTATTGCCCTTGAGACCAACCAACAATGAGTGTATAGCTTGAAAATGCACTGCCAGGTGTCGACCTAAATTTTGAAGGAACAGTTACCATTTATCTTGAATAGGTAGACATTGTTTCTTCATTTTGGTTAACTGAATGTATGGCATCTTGGATATTGACTTGGATCTTCTTTTACAATAAGCACTAAGGAATCAGTTAATGCTTTATATTGTTTTTAGATTTACTGTATAAATATGGATCGAATGTTGGCATGAAGATGGTTCATTGGATTTTAGTTGTCAAATGGCCATATGGTTTGGTTTGACAGGATAATTTGTTGCATAAAATTTTTTTCACTTGCTCCATTTTCTTTTGTGACATCGCACAAAATTTGCATGGTCTGCCCTGGCCCTAAAATGCGGAAACCTCTCCTCATTCTAAGCTTTTTTGTTAAAAAAAAAAAAATTCAACTTTTTGATTTAGTAGATACATGCATACAAGTCAGAAACTATAGATTAGAGACAATGGCAAACATGACTCTATGAAGTCAATTATGTGGACTGGTTGTTTAGCAACAGGGTAGCAGGCAGGTTATATCTTTTGCAGATGTCGATGCTACAGATGTCACCGCCTATACCATAACTTTTCTAGCTCCCAATCAAGACAAGCAAGTTTGGAGTTCTGTCAAGCTTTTTTGTGTAGTATCAATTGGCAAAAGGGGTCCATTGTAGAATTATTGGCACTCAAGCAATTCCCAACAGGCTCTGTTGTGAGGGTTCCTAGGAATGCCGCATAGTTGAAATCTTTTGAGCACTGAGAGTGAGATGTAAGAAACGGCATGACTGATTTTGTTGATTGCTTAAATACAGATTAATATTACCTGTTATCTCATGAAAAAAAAAGAAAGGAACCGGCTTTAGCCTGGTCGGGGACTAGGACTGGCAGGTAATTTTGCTGATTAATCTTAAAACTGATGCGTCTCGTAATTATATGAAACATCCACCAAAACCTCTCGACAAAATGCATTATCTGAAATCATGGTAGAATAAACAGCTAATGGATACTTATGAAACGCATTAGACGCAGCTGCGATTATGCTATAGTCATTCAAAAAGGCTGAAGTGCCATTAAAGCTGATAAGATATTTACATTTACTAATGCATCCATAATACTAGAAGCACAAACCCTACTGATAAATTCATGGTATATTACACTTAGATGCCAGAAGTCGCATCAGCATTTGAGTCATTTGATGTTGGCTGAGATGTCGTTGGTGCAAGACCACTAGGACGCCTGTATCCTGAAGGTATCAGGGGGGTGCGTGGCGTTCTTGGAGATAGGAATGGTGGAGGGGTGTGAGGAGTTCTTGGGGACAGGTTGACGAACTCCAATGCTTGTTGTCTCAGTTCTACAGGGTAATCAGCAACGCACCCAATCCTTGGCCCAGCCCCAGTTGACCATTTGAGCGACAGCTGATGTCCCAATTGGTATGATTTGGCCGCCTTCTTCGAGTTGATCCTTTGCAATATAGCCTTTTTAGGCACCTCAGCTCTTGGGCTCTGGAGACCACCAGATAAAGTCCTTTCGTAATTATTTTTGGTCTCCGGTTGATTAGTTTCAGATGAGTCAGATGACAAATTCTTCTCTTCATTTTCAATTTCAGGTTCAGTAGTCACTGAGCTTGTTGAAAATTCAAAAGCAGTCCCACCACTGCTGGATTTGCCATCATCATAGCTATCAGAATCATCAGTTGCTCGGCGAATCTGAACACGAGATCAAAGTCAGTCATCATATTTATTACGGAAATGGACGAAGGAAATGGCATGATCCATTTGACTGAAAATGGAACCAGAGGTTCAAGGATCAAAACCAGTAAGTATAAGAAATAAACAAGCAGACATGTACCTAGGGAACATTTTTATAACAGAATTCCTTGATGAAACTTTGAAACATCAAACTTGACAATTGCTAAAGAGAAAATGAATAGATTGAAAGGTTACCTCAACTTCACTGAGGTTCATTCCGTTCTCTTTCAGAAAGGTTAGAAAACTCTCAAGACTATCATCTGTTGGCCGGTAATGTCCACTATAGGCAGAGATGGACTGAAAAATGAAGGAAATCAGGTGTCAATGCATCAGCACATTGTATCAGAACTTTTAACAATATTTCCAAACAATAAAGGAACAAGACAGTAGCCTGTAAGCTCCAATGATGAATTGCAGGTGTAAATTTGATGAACTATCCAGTCATTCAAATGCAACCAACAATAGGGGCAGCAGGTAACATTCCTGGTACATTCCCATATCCTAAATCATTATGAAGCAATACCTTTAGTATTCCCTGCTCTGCCACCAGCCTACCAGCTGCTAACGTTGCTCCTCCAGCTAAGAAGCTAGAATGATGAAACATTCCTTTCTTCTTCTGCAAGGTACAAAAGACATTTTAGGTTTTTAGATATTGACTAGGTTATAATCAAACAGTTGCTGTTCTATGTCAGATGCTTACTTCGCCAGCATACAATTTCCTGGAGGTGCTCATAACAAATATCCATTTCCCCTCTTTCAATCCTTTGATTGTATCAAGGTCATTTCTAGTTTGTTTATGGATAATCTTTCCTTCAACAACAATGTACTCATAATGCTCCCTCTCTTGCTGTTTCCCCACCAAAAGACCAAAAAAAAAAAAAAAATCTCATCAGGATTTTACAGCAACTGGAATTAACAATTTATACATCTCATTTAGAAATTTAAATCTAGAATGAATCTAACATATGAGGGCACATACAGGTCCAAGATAATTAATGCATTGTTGTCGAAGCTTCGATCTCGGGCATTCTTTGAGATCAATCTCTTTGCCATCCCCTACATCCAACCTGTAGATAGCACAAATGAAAAAAAAAAAAAATCCACTAGCAATTAACACCGTTTAACACCTATAAGCATTAAGCAACCCCTTTCCTTCAATAGGGAAATTTCAATAATAGCAATTGAATTCATAGCGTAGTAAAAGCAAAAATCTTTGGGCTTACCAGTAGAAAAATGGTTGACCAGCTTCAGCTTTACACCACTCCTCGTAGTAAATATGCAAGTTATGCCCGTAACGATGACGTGGATCAATCTGCAGTTATAAATTATCCAAAATATTTTGTTTTAACAAATCTACTATTTGAAATGAAAATTTTTTTATTCAAGTGAAAGGATAAAGAAGAGTAAATTACAGCTTCAATCCAATGTTGAAAAGCCAATTTTTGTGCTTTGGCGTCTATGCACAATCCTTTCCCGACCTGTCCAAATTCCAAAGCTGATCATTTATGCAAATAAATAAATAAAACAATAATTTGTAAAAATTAAAAGAAAAAGGACAAAACATGAAAAATCAAGAAAGTCCAGCTTTTAAAATAATTTTTTTAATAAAAATAATAAAAAAATACCTTAGAAGCGTTTAAGCCAACACGATTCCACCTCGAAGCAGCAGTTTCTGGTTTCAAATAATTAAAAAAAGAAATTGTGTTGTGATTAAGTCTTGCATAATCTAAAACCAGCCACCTGAAAAAAAAATTATAACCCAAGAAATATAAGATTTTTATAACATTAAAAGCAAAAAAAAAAAAAAAAAGACAGACAAAAATTTTATGAACGTACCAGAGTTCTTCAGCGACAACAGCGGAGTCTGCTAACCTACGCCGTGTCTGATAACTCCTATACACCTTCTGAACCTTAACGGCCGCGTTGGAATGACAATAAGCACCACCAGGGGCGTGATTCCAACCCGAAAATTTTTCACCGCCGATCACCGACTCCACCGGCATTTCAAAACCACCACCATTATTCCCCGACGGGAAATCTGATTCACTTGCTTCTTTCGGACTATCCATAAAGAAAAAATCAGACGGTTCGGAGCCCCCACGTAACCCGGGGTTCTGAAGGTCCGAGGAGGAAATGTTACCAAGTGGAGACTTTGACTGGAGATTGAAATTTGAAACAGCTGCTTGAGTTTCAATTACTTCCATTGTTTTGTTTGCTTTTCTACTAGACTTAGTCGAATAGTTTAAACCAAACCAAGCCGTAGAATTTGAACGAATTTTCCACAGAAAAAAAAGAAAAAAAAAACTTCGAATCGCTGGTTTTGAGAGGAGGAGAGAGCAAAGAACACAAGGAGCGTAGCTGAAGGTTCGGAAGTTCCCGGGGAAACCTAGCTGTCAATTTTTATATCCCACTAGGTTTTACCGAAGTGCTTGTCTCACGCGCTAAGGTTGAGAGTGAGGTTTTCTGTAACCCGCTCGCAGCAGTGAGAAACTAGATAAAGAAAACTAGGAACGGGAAAATCTCACTGGAAATTTGTAGAGACTTGGAGTTGTGCTTGATCCGCGTGGTTATATTATATTATATATATATATATTACGTGGTCCGTTTTCACTTTTTAGATTCATGGGATTATTTCTTGTTTATATAATACTATCTATCACTATCACAATTGATGCATCATTTTATCTATTCTAATGAATTACAACCCGTTATCTTATTAAAAAATTAAAATACTTTATTTATATTACATATAAAATTATAAAAATAATTATATCTTCTTTAAAAAAGAAAAAATAATGATATCACATATTTATAAAATTACAAAATTTTTATCTGCAACATATAATTATTCCTGAGAGAAAAAAATGTGACAACAAATATATTTTATATTTGATATTTCTTAGTCCTAACAAAACAAATACATGATGATATTATAACCAAAAAAAAATCAAACACTGATCTAAAATAAAATTGGATGAAATAACATTTTCTTAATTATATAGTCAGTTTTTTGTGGTCGGAGTGTTTTACAGAATTAGCGTGACCTACTAAGTCAGCACCATAAAAAACAGAACTTGAAACAGACGCTCCGACGGCAGGCGTGAAAAAGTCCAGGTGGAACAAAATGGCAATTGAGTGTGACTTTCTCTGTCTCTGGTTAGCGTTTCAGCCACGCGCGAATATAGCAACGGTTGGTTTGAAACGATCAAGAAAATAAAATTAAGCAAAGACATTCGGTTCTTCAGAGTGACCCATTTTGCGGTTAGAGTGGGTCCACTTTTGTCTCGTTGCGCCATTTCATATTTGGATCAAGCCGAAGTGCAATTAATCAAAGGAGCAGGGGTGAAATTAAAAATGTGGTCCATTACATTTGATACAACAAATAAATTTGGAAAGATATTAATTGTGACATTTGTGACTGAGTGTAGTAAAGCAATGGACCCCCATTCACTTAAACATTAGATTCGTATCGATCACGATCCGGCTTTGCATTTTTTTTCCCTCTCATCAATAATTGATGTATTTGTTTAGATTCAAGTTATTTATTTTTAAATATATATTAGATTTTTTTTATCCTTGCTTTGTCAGGTTAGGTTTTATTTAAAATAATTTAAATAATACTCCTTTCATCTCATGACATGAATTTTTATGAAATTTAAGAATTTTTTTTTAATTTTAATATATTTAATATTAAAATTAAAGTTTTATGATTTTAATATCAAAAAATTAAAAAAATCATAAAATATAATTTTAAAATATAAAAAATAAAAGTTTTAGATATTTAAAAAATAACATAATTTTGAAATATTTTAAAAAAAAGAAAAAGATGAACAAAAAAAATTGGAATAGAGAGAGTATATAATACCTTTCTAATCTCTAAAAGTTTTCAATTAAAAAAATCTACTGATGCTATTTTACTATAATTAATACTTGCAATAATTAATATAAAAATATACTTGCAATAATATTTAATCAACAATTTGTAATCATACTTGCAATCATACAAATTGTTGATTTAACATTTCATATTTTTGACTAAAACAAAAAGTTTGAAGTATCTTTTTATGAAGTTGTGACAGTACTTATCTTAATTAGCAAAAAATTTGCTTATACTATCTGATGATGGAAATGAAAAAATCTCCTAATTTTGTCTCTTCTTTTTGGAATTTTCATTTTGCCAATGCATGATGATTTAAGATAATTACAACTCAAACTGTGATATTTTAAACCTTCTTTCAAATGACTGCGCAAAGTAACCTTATCTTTTTATGCATGCATTTTGTTTTCGTAAGTCATTTTCTTTCTTTAACAAAATTAATTAATTTTAAGAAAAAAACATATTTATTTATAACTATATGTATATAAGTTATAATCATCATATAGAATGATAGAAGTAGACAGAAAATATGGTCATTTTCGTTTTTTGGGGACAATGAAAGTGACAAAAGGGAAAGAAGACAGCACAAACGAGGAAAGAAATGGGATTTTCGAAATGACTAGGTAGCTATCCCATGCTAATATGTATTATAGTTTGTTCCATTTCATTTGGTGGTATATATGCAAAGAGGATATACGATCCAAAAGAGTGATGGTTTTTCCCACAAAAGTTGACAGAAAGAGTCATAGGTAGAGTGATTTTGCGGTACCACCAAAACCATGCATATGCCCCACATTTCTATAAGAGAAAATTGTGGTTGGAAATGAAGCGATTAATAGAATTGATGTCCTTCTCGTTCATTTAATATGAAAACCTACCACTGACAAGGAGCTCTCTACTGCCAGCCTCCTGCACCTACCAAGCTTTAAATGCTTAAGCCTCTCTGTTGGGTTTGTACCATTACTTTATAGTTTCGACGGACAGAGCTATCGTCAAATACCTAGACAGCCTACTTGGCTCAGGCACCCATGTCATGTGTTTTCTTGTATGCGTGCCTTTTTTTTGATCGGCAGAGGCTAAAGCATATAAAAGCTCAGTTTCCTAAATGGGCTTGGCCCAATTTAATATTCAGCTGAGTCCATTATCTCGGGGCAGCTATAGTAGTTTCTTAAACTCAGACAGATTTGTAGGTACACTCAAACACAAATCTTTTAGGGCATTAATATAAGAAGAAAAAAAAATTATATATATTATATCTTCATTTTTTTAAAATCTATAAAATCCAGAATTACAAGGAAACACCATTTAGACTATCATAAATTTTTCATGGATAAAAAAAGAGATTTTGACTTGGATTTTTTTCTTCTAAAAACCATTTGATTGGTATAATTATTCAAATAATAATAATAAGAAAAAGAAGAAGATGAAGAAGAGGAAGAGGAAGAATAGAGTTTATATTTTATATAAAATTTATATATTATTTATGAATCATATGATGTCACATTATTAATAAAAAATTAAAATAAATATATATAAATTTAATAATTTAAAATATGATAGATGATATGAAAATAATACAAAATAAATATATAAAAATGGTACGGTTTAAAATTTTAGTAAAAATTTTATATGAGTTTAACAACACTAAAATATTTATTTTATAATTTTATATTAACACAAACTATGAAATTAATTTTTTATAAAATACAGTATAAATATATAAAATTTTAAATTTATTTTAAGATTTTATAAAAAAATTTATATTTTTTATTAATTAAGTGACATCGTATGATTCATTATCAAATGTATAAAATTTATATAATAAAAGTACATCAATTATATAATAATAATAATAATAATAAGGATCTAACATTGGGCTAAAAGGATTCATTGTTTGGAAAAAAAAAATCATTGGGCTGAAAAACCCAAGCCCGGATCGTATACCCTTTCCATTTCTCCAACTAAAACCCTAGTTTTGCATACTATATAATGCTGCATACGGCCTGTTTATTTCCATTTGCATCCAGGGTTGCTTCCATCACCGCTGCAGATCGATAGCCTCCCTGGTCGGTCCTCTCTTCCACTCTTCTTCTTTTTCATCTTTGTAGTTACTTTTATTTTCTATTTTTGGGTTTTTGAATTAACCGTTGCTTTTGTGTATCTCATTTTACAGAAAAAAGGAGAAAATGAAGGTAGTTGCTGCATATTTGTTGGCTGTATTGGGAGGAAACGCCTGCCCTTCAGCTGATGATCTTAAGCACATTCTTGGCTCTGGTTCTCTTTTCCCGCCCTTAACCCTTTTCTTTTCTCTTAAATTCAGATCATTTGACTGCTTTATTTCCTTTGTCTGTTTCAATAGCTTTTCTTGGTAACGCATTAGTTTATGATTTGGAAATCTTGTGTTTATGTCTTCTAGATTGAATGTCAATTTGGTGAGGTAGCGGCTTTCAATAAACATATGAACTTGTGTACTTCTAATTTGTATTTTAGTTTGAGATTTACATAAATATTAGATCACTTAATGCAAAATATGTTTGATGAAGATTGAATTGGTTGTTTATCTGTTTTTCATCTTTGTCCATCAAAATAAAGGTATAACAATTTAGTACAATTGGAGAAAGAAAAATTGACTTTGGTTCAAATAATTTATATAAATATGTTTTATTTTGCCAGTAATTTTAATTGGTTGTTTATATATGTTGGAGGAAGAAATGTTGACTTTGTTTCAAATAATTTTGTATACAGTTGGAGCTGAAGCTGAAGATGACAGGATTCATCTTCTTTTATCTGAGGTCAAGGGAAAAGATATAACAGAGCTTATTGCATCTGGAAGGGAGAAGCTTGCCTCTGTTCCATCTGGTGGTGGTGTTGCTGTTGCAGCCGCTGCACCTGGAGCCAGTGCTGCTGCTGCTGCTCCAGCTGCAGCTGAGACCAAGAAGGAAGAGAAAGTTGAGGAGAAAGAGGAATCAGATGATGTAATAACTCCAAACCTTAATTTTTTTTTTTCTTCATTTGTGATTATCTAAAGTTTTGTTGCAATCATGGTTTTGTGCATTTGGTACTATCACAGATATATTTCTTCTAATTAACTTCTGTTTTATTCAATTTGTTGCAGGATATGGGCTTCAGTCTCTTTGATTAAAATGTTGATTGGTTTCTGCAGAAATTTTCTTTTTCAGTTTAAGCCTGACTTAGATTTGAAGTTTTGTTATCCTGCGGTATGTAGTCTTCTTTTTCTGGATTCAAATATTGGATAGACAAGACATTTGTTTTGCTGAAACTTAATGTTGCAATGGAATTCTGAGAGTTCATTATGATGAGTTTCTTGAATCTCATGTCTAATGATGATGAAAGATTGAACGAAAGTAGATGAATTTTCTTCAATATTATTGTGCAAGTTTTGAAAGAATTACTGTGATTTATGTGTTATGAATTCATATATGCAGTCAAAGCCACCTTAAGTTGAAAATTTGTGATATGGACCATGTTACGTGTTGGAGGGAACTGAGTAGTTGATGTCGAGAATGTAAATTGATTTGAGGACGCTTATGTCGAAATATTAATGGAAGATTGAATCGTTTGGTTCGGAGTAATTTCTATGGTCAAGTCAGGCGAATTTGCTGTCAATATGAAATACATATTTTGATAAAATTATAAGATATGATAGCCCTTGTACTGCACCCTATGGCAGTATCCTCGGCCATGGCAGTGCCAGTATTTCTGAGAATGCTAGGTTCTCTTATTTTCTATAGAATATTTTGTAGATTTGGGTACCAGCACCATCAGTGGAGATATACGGGGTTTGTTTTGAGATCAGGCAAGCCATTTAGAAGCGTTCCGAAAATTTTGTAGGCAGGAAGCACTTATTATAAGATCAAAAGGATGAATAAAGCATGGGGAGACCACCAACTCAATCCAAAGAGCACAACCCAATAAAAAACAGATCCAAGGCTTTATCTATAAAGAATAAAAGTCCTCTTGCAACAAGTAAGCAACAATCAATGCATGGCAGAGTTGGTCTTCAAATCCTGCAGGTGAAGGGTAGACCGTCGTAATCCTGCAGGTGAAGGGTAGACCTTCGTTTGTTAGGGATTCCAAATTCTCAACCGTAGGCTGAAGCTTAGCAACTTTAGTAATAGCGTGATTTTCTTCGGCTGTGCCACCCTCTAGGAAAGCTCCAACCACCTTCCCGTCTTTAATTCAGTAAGATCCAAACTTTGGCTTTGGCGATTGTGGGTTGTTGTCTCCCAAAAGCACCGTGTCCCCAACATTTTCACCGTAGAACTGCCGTGCTAGATCAATTGAACGAGGATAGAAGTATGGTAGGTAGTCATATTCAACAACTGATTCCCCCTTCTCACTTGCCTTGATGGCCTGAAAAAATGCTAGAATGTTTTGACAGTTATATGCATAACTGAGAAGACTCAAAACTGTATCCTACTTAAAGGTTGCAAAGATAGATTCTTGTGTTGGAAAGTAACATTTAGCCAATAATTGAGCATGAAGATCAAGTCAATAAATATATAAATAGATGAAACAAGTGAGGTAACAAACCTTTCCTGCCTGGTCGGCTGAAATCCGGGCATGGTCAACGTGCTCAACACTACTCAAGTCATCGTATAACTTCATAAGAAAAGTGGCTACATCACCCACAGCATACACATTGGGAACACTAGTTTTGAAAAAAAACATCAGTCTGCAATCAAACAATTTGTGATTTTCAAATTACATGCAGATCTTACTTTGAATTTATGCTTAGGAATTTCAAGCCGACAATTATAGATGAAAAGGCAATTGAGATCATGGCACTGATCAAACCAACCTTTATTCAGCCCTTCTCCTCTTCAACCTGCCCTTCAAATAACGTTGCAAGAGGTCTTCCACCAACACCAACAACAACGTCAGCTTCCAGCACTCTGCCACCTTAAGTTTAACTTCCGTCACCTGAACAATGGTCAAAAGTATCACCATGAAAATGATTTCAGCCCCATAAAAATGATCAAAGCAGCAAGCCCTCTGAAGTATGGCTGTAAACCTCTCCATTTGAGTCAGAGGTGAATCCAACTGCAACTGTTCCCTTAATAATTTTGATCCCTTTATTAGCATTAACAATCCTCATAGAAAGCAGCAATGCCAGAGGTGAAAAGCCGGGGCACTAGAAGAACAATCTTCATGTCAGAAAAAACAAAGAATCAGCCAGAAATCATATATAGTTTATTTATTACATGGACTGACACCATATTTCAACAGTAGGCCTCTACTTACAGCACCATGGTTCAGGGTACACCATGCTGACCTCGAAATTGTTCATTTTCATTGCAGCGCCAAGCTCAAGACCCAATATAGCCTCCTCCAACGATAACAGCCTTCCCATTCTTCTTTGCTTTGATCGCTTCTACCAACTTATCAGCATCATCAATTTCTCTTAAGTAAAAGATGTTTTTGGCATCAGCTTGTCGCACTCCAAAATCTGTCAACCTTATAACCTGCAAGAATAACGAGTTAAACTATGCACAGCAGGCAAGACAAGGAATGCTTTATGTTGAGATCCCTAGAAACCGTAACTCATTGTGGAACCAGTTGAGATTATCAAAATTTGATACTTGAATGTTTCTCTTGCTGCGCTTAATAGATCTTGGCAGGAAAATCTGCTTTCACCATTTCTGTGCTAAGGATCAATTCTATCCCTGCAAGTATCAGAACACGAGAAGTATATCAAATGGGGCAATTTCCAAATTCTAACTGAGAGATTGAATAAACAATGAATATTAGCTTCAATTCCCTTTTGGCAGATCCATTTTTCTATTATTTCTGCAATTCTCAAATTTCACATGAAATAAATTCAGGCAGTCATATTTGCGAACCTTTTTCCTTGCACCACTCAGGAAGCAATCTCTCTTCGCCACTTCCAACACAGACATGGAAATCAGGAAGTCTTGCAGCTCCTGCAAAGAACAAATCACCAAATTGATCCAAGAAACAAAACAACCGGATGGCCAAAAAAATGGTGTGGCAATTAAAAGCATAGTTATGATTGCATTTATACGAGTTTAGAATTTATTTCAATTTATCAAATAGGTACAATTAAGCACACTAGGTTACCCTCAGGGAAGAAATATCCCTTACTCAGAGCGGGACATTCATATGGAGCCACCTATGTATAAGAAAGCAAAAATCATGTAATATGCAATATAAATTTATCCATTCATGGATCAATAAATGACAACAGTAGCAGTTACGATTAGTGCTGTAGTGTAAATGCCACTGGTGCTGGCCTCTATTACAGTAGAATAGAACTTCGACAACATCAGACATATTGTAAGAGGAGCATCCGGAGGAAGGAGTCCCTTGAACATAGCAGAATGAGAGATTTTCAAAAGCTAACCGGTGTATTGAGTAATGAAATTATGTGATGGAATCTTTTGCTGATTTAATTGAAACCAAAACAAAGGACTTGTATTTGATGAAATAGGCTATGCAGATAGTGATCTAAAATATAAAATGCAAGCAAAATGGATAACTACAACTTAATAGAATGGCTAATCTTTTTCTAATGCAATGATAGAAAAAGTTTTATTAAATACAGTAAAAAGCATACCCCCTATTAGGAAATAATGGCCAGTTCACCAGTCTGCACCCTTCTCGGCAAACTCCCTGCATATCCCTATAATCGGAAGAGGAAACTTTCAGGCAAAGAAACTAAAGATGTCAATCAAAAGTAAATACAACATAACCCCATAGACAGTCTGACAGCTACATAAAAATGAAAGAAACTCCACTTTCTCACATTACTGCGTTCTAAGCAATGCAAAATAAAATCAAACCACCCTTTGCAACTCACACAGACACTCTACATGATTATAACTGCATGAGATGCATTACATTATGTAACAACATGCTTGGTTGCTTCAATATAAATCCATTTTCGCAAAACATTTTAGCAGTAAAGACAATTTGTGCTCTTTCTTTTGCTCAGTGACTTCTCTTTCTACCTTTTCTGTAATTAACCGATTTTTGTACAGTAGATTGGTCAGAAAATTCTATAGGGAGGCGCCTCCTCATTGGCTGACCTTTGGATGTCAACATGATTTTGCCATGTGTTATAAACATTGCCGTTAATCATTGCTGACTGTGCATCTTCCTTGACTAATTTTTCAGAAAATTAAGGATTTTGAAAGGATAATTAAAGTTGATGCCATTGATAATGTGGCAGGGGATCTTTATATGATATAATGATGTTCATACACTTTAATGATTCCGTGTGACTGGTACATGATATCATCACATCAGTCAAAAGAATGAAAATTAATTATTAAAAAATTAAAAGATAGTTACCGGAGTTTGACTTTATTATGTTACGAAGAATTATAAGTTAAGATTAAATTGAATCAAATTTATTTTTTAGATATTATATAATATTATAAAATTTTTAAATTTTATTTGTATTTGAATTTTTTAATATAATTTGATTCAAATTAAATTTTTTGATTCGGTTCATTTTATTGATTATTGAAATTTAATTTTTTATTATTATTTATTTTAATATAAAATTTTAATATATTTAAATAAATTTTGATATAAAATTATGAGAAAGGATCAACGAAAATATTTTAATTTTATACATTTTTTTAACTATTAATTTCATAGATATAAGGAAGAGATTAAATAATTTTTTATTTTTTTGATTTAATTCTTTCATCCTTTGAATTTATTAGAATCAATAGTTAAAAAAATATATCAAACTTTTTGGTATAATTTGACGACTCTCCTAAAATTATTATTTTTATGAAATTTAAAATATATATAAAAATTAACAAAAATATATAATTTTACTCTATTCAATTTTTTTTATTTTTCATTTTTCCACATAAAATTTGATATGAAATTTAATATCTGAATTTAATTCAAACCAAATAAAAAAAAAAACTTAAACCAAATCAAACACCATAATTTTAAATTAATTCTTAATTTTGTCCAATTTTTTTCTCACCTCTATTACTCAACATTCAAGTTCAACGACTTTTAGTTAAACCTACGACGCATGATTTTCAAGTGACGAGCTGTGATAGAATAGGCCTTGGTCATGGGTTTAAGCTCAAATTAAAACAATACATATTTTCATATTTTTGGTCAAGCTTTAATCCGGTTGAGAGTAGCAAGCCCAAGGACAAGATTTTTCATTTAAATTTAATAAATGTTCATATTTTTTCTATTGCATGTTTGCATATACTTCAAAAAGAAAATACCACAATGTTTGCATAGTATTCACATAACATAAGATTCATTGGGCAACAAATGAAAGTACAAATGAGTGTCCAATATAATTTGAATGTCAATCGCAACTCAATGGGATCGATTATTTAATTGCATTCAAATATTAACGAGATCAACAAAAGTAGCTAACATTTGGTGCTATTATTTGATGTTACTATAGGCAATGATCATATATATATAAATCTTCTCAAAAGGAAAGCAACTTATATTAAATCCAAACAAAAATTGTAATGAGATTTGTTTCCAAATAAATTTTACCTTATAGCTCCATATGAATATTATAGACTACTATTATCACACCCATTCACTCCACTTCAAAACAGCCCTTCATTCATCATGAAAGATTTCATATATATTTTACTTCTTTCAGTCCTTCTCCTTGGCAAATTTGGTGAATTGATTTTCCTCTTTCACTTTTTTTTTTTGTTCAATTACACTGTATTTTATTGTGATTTATTAATTTTAATAAATAATAATTAATTTTGTACTTTATTGTAATTCGCTTTTCAGGAAGTGAACCAACGATGGCAGAGGCAAAAACTTGCCATATATTTTTGGAGGATATGCCAGGGTGCAAGGTTGACGACTGCACTGCTAACTGTTCCAATAACTATGGGCCTTTGGCTTTAGGGAGATGTGTTAATAATTTTGAATGTCACTGTGATTACCCCTGTTAATAATTTCACGTTTTTTTTTCACTCCATCAAGGAATAAATAGAAGAAATAAATGGAGCTAAGTTAAGTATTTTATGAATTATTATATTCTTTTTTTTTTTTTTTTTTACATTTTTTCGTTGTGTGAGGATTGAATATTAGCATATGGGAAATCATTTCCATACAATATCGGTAAAATTTTTAATTTATTAATGGATTATCTCATTCCTATTAAGATATATTTTAAAAATATTAAATTAATATAATAAATAAAATTGCATGCGATAATTTTTTTATTTTTATTTATAAAATTTAAAAATTTTATTAACAAGGAACAAAATAATTATCCATTTACATTTTCCTTATATCAAATTCCAAAATGATACTAAAATTTATTGAATTCTTGAAACATTGTTTGAAATGACAGAGTCAATTAAAAACGAAAAGGAGAAAAAAGAAAGGATATTTCTTGCATGAATAATAGAAGGTATCATTGAAAAAGGATATCAAACAAGGTGATGTGTCTAAAAAAATGAACCAATGTATTGTAAAGTAAGGGCATTGTTGCACATTTTTATTTTTAATTTCTGCTTGTTTGCTTTAAATTTTTTATTTTAAATTTTTAATCTTGTATTTTTCATGCACCTACCGGGCATAAAAGGATAACATTAGCAATAACATATTTAGATTTGAAGATTTATATATTTATTTCATGTAAAATATTAAAATTTATATATTTATATCGTATTTATACAAAAATTACATATTATAATTTATATCAATGCAAAAATATTAAATACTTTTTTTATTTTGTTAAACTCATATATAATTATTATTAAAATCTTAAATCGTATTACCTTCATGTTACTTTTTCATATTGTATTCATTTCATGTTGACATATTGTTTTAATTTCTTTTTTTAATAATAGTCTCATTTATTTTTTTTCTATAAAAATGAGATATTAAAATTTACTATCGAGTTTAGGTTATTTATTTAGAAAATGAGAAGAAAATAATAAAGGTTTGTTCATAAAAAATGGTTAATTAAAATTTCAAAAAATATATATTCTTATTCATCAATACTACTGGCTCTGACATTGTTTTTCAATCAATTATTGAAGGGAAATTCCTTATATTTACAACATATATATCCTTAGTCATGGTTAGCACTTACCATACAATTTTTTTACTGTCAAAGTTAAAATTTAATTATTTTCATAATTAATAACAAAACATTATTACAACAATATTATTGCATAAAATGCAATAATTGATAAATTTTTGTCAATTCAATAATTAGTTAATTTGATGA